ATATATTTATAATATAGGTATAGCATATATTAATATACTATTATAGATTTATAACTCTTTTTTAAAGCGCTAGTGCATCAATAGAAATAAATATATTAAATTACTCTTAGTACTTTAAGTCTAATCTTACTCTATAATAATAGGATTTTTAATATTATAGAGAATAATATAATAGTAAACCTCTCTTGCCTATATAATACCTACTAATATAGTAAGTTCCTCTATATAATCTTTCTTAAATATTAATATAATACTAAGAATAAGAGATTTAGTAATATTATCCCTATAAAAGATAGTAAGGTTCTAAGTGCTAATTAGCTAGCAGTACTCTTATTCTATATAATATACTATAGCAAGCATATTTATAGCCTTCTATACTAGTATATAGTTTTTAGTATCCTTCTAGGCTTTAAGATTCTTATATAGACATAATATCTTATTAAGTAAGAGATTATTAATATAATTACTAATCTCTATAGTCTTTAATATACTAACGTACCCCACGGGCGAGCGAGCCAACGGGCGAGCGAGCCACTTTTGCCAAGCCCCCACCAAAGTACCCTTTTTATACCAATGCCTCAACAACAACCTATTATTAACGCGTCAAAGGAGGCTCAGGTACAGCTTGCGCTTCAAGCTCTTAAACAAGACGCGAATCTCTCACAGCGACGCGCTGTAGCCATCTACAAGGTGCCTCGAAGCACACTAAGCCATTGACACACTGGACGACCTTCACGAGGTGATACTATGCCTAACTCACGAGGGTTGGACAATAATGAGGAGCGGGTAATTGTTGAGCACATACTTGAGCTAGACGGGCGAGGATTTGGCCCCCGGCTGGCAGATGTGGCTGCTATGGCCAATTCTCTGCGCGCTGAGCGCAATCTGGGCCCTGTTGGCACAAACTGGCCCAGTACGTTCGTCAAGCGTCAGCCAGAGCTCAAAGTAAAGTTCAATCGCAGGTATGACTACAAGCGAGCCCTCTGCGAGGATTCAGGGGTTGTGCAGGGCTGGTTTAGCCTGGTAGCCAACGTCAAAGCTAAGTATGGCATCCAGGATGATGATACCTACAACTTTGATGAGACAGGCTTCATGATGGGCCAGATCTCCCAAGGAGCAGTCGTCACAGCTTCAGAGAGACGAGGAAGGCCAAAGGCAGTCCAGCAAGGCAACCGGGAGTGGACAACAGTCATACAGGGCATCAATGCGAAAGGATGGGCTATTCCACCCTTCATCATCTTCAAAGCGCGCCACCACCTTTCTGGCTGGTATAAGGAGGAAGATCTGCCCCAGGACTGGGTTATTGGAGTCTCCAGTAACGGCTGGACTACTAATAAGCTTGGTCTTGAGTGGTTAAAGCACTTTGACAGGCATACAAAGGAGCATACTGTTAGTACCCACCGACTGCTGGTTATTGACGGCCATGAGAGCCACGACTCGCTCCAATTCCAGCAATACTGTAAGGATAACAAGATTGTTACCCTGTGTATGCCTCCTCACTCATCACACCTCCTACAGCCACTTGATGTGGGCTGTTTTGCCCCTTTAAAGACAGCGTACGGGCGCCAAGCCGAAATGCTCATGCGCAACCGAATCACCCACCTTACAAAGGCTGAGTTCCTGCCATGCTTCAAAGCAGCCTATAATGCAGTATTTACTCCTAGTAACATCCAAGGAGGGTTCAGAGGTGCTGGATTGGTCCCCTTTGACCCAGAACGGGTCATATCAGCCCTTGATGTGAAGCTTCGGACTCCAACACCACCACTTCCTGCCAACAACGTGCCCTGGCAGTCGCAAACCCCTAGCAATACTTTAGAGTTTGGATCGCAATCAACACTTATAAAGTCAAGGATTCAGAGGCATGTAGACAGCTCTCCTACATCTATAGTAAAGGCGTTTAAGAAGGTGTCAAAGGGGGCTGCAATTATTGCGCACAAGCTGGTTTTAGCTCAACAGGAAATCAGGGAGCTTCGAGCGGCTAATGAGGCTGCTACGCGACGAAAATCACACAAAAGAAAGCGGGTTCAGAAGGAAGGGACACTGATAGTTGAAGATAGGCAGCGACTGGCAGCTCTAAAGGAGTTTAGGGCACGTAGCGATGGAAAGAGGGCGAAGAAGCAGGTGCGCGCTTAAGAGGGTGAGCCTGCCCAAAGGCGCTGCAGAAGGTGCAATCAGACTGGTCACAACGCGCGAACGTGCAAGATTGATGTAGAAGAGGTCTCTGAATAATATCACATGCCGTAGTCTGCCACAGAGTGCCAAAGTGTGGTGTTGTAGGCTATAATAGGTTAGGTTTTGGTAAGGGCTTGGCAAAAGTAGCTCGCTCGCCCGTTGGCTCGCTCGCCCGTGAGGTACGTTATATAGATAGCTTATTATAACTTAGCTATAAAGTATAAGATAGTTAATAACTTTAACACGCGCATAGAGATACTTAGTAGTAGTAGTAGTAAATAGCTATAGATTCTTATAAATTCTATTAATTAGAATACTAGAATAAATTATTAATCTATATGCTATATAATAATTATGCTTAGACTAATACCTATATACCTAATTTAGATCTAGTATATTAGATATATTATATATATTAGCTAGCTATATATATATCTTATTATTAAGTTTTAGAATAAAAAGTTCTATAACTAGTCTATTACTTTATTAAACACCTAGCGCGTAATTTCTAGAATCTTAGCTAGTATTAACTCTAAAGCAATTGCATATATCTATAGCATAGTTAAAGGAGAAGAGTATAGTAACATAGATATTATAGAAGATATAATAGGCTTTATAATAGTTAATAGTAACCTAATATATAAGTTAAATCCTAAGTTTTCTAAGGAATATAAAGTAGATATTAAGCTTAGTAAGTCTAACCTCTCTATTCTATTTATAGGCTAGATAGTGTTATTCTAGTTTTATAAACCTAGAATTAAGCTACTACCCTCTTAGTATATTATAACTAATAGTATTTAGGTCCTAATAATATAATAGCTACTATATTTTAGATAGGTTATAGTCTTAAGGTCCTAGGCTATCTATAGTAATAATAGCGTTATATACTATAAGCACTAACCTGCAGCCTTCTATACTATAGCTACCTAGACTAGTATAATAGGTTCTAGAGGTTACTATAATAAGCATCTATAGAGATCTATACTTAAGGCTATAGTAGAAGAGAGTAAGGCCTTTATATATAGTCTAGAGGTTATACTACCCTAGAAGATAAATACTAATAGCTCTTCTTATATTAGCTATAAAATAGATAACTCTTTAAGAAGACCTAGTTAAATACTAGGGTAAATATAGCTAGGAAGGCTTTCTTATTAATATAGTTAATATAGCAGTTTGCTAAGACTTAGATCTCTTTCTTATATGCACGCTTTAGTAGGGTAAAGTAACCTATATTAAGCAGCTAAAGAATATATAAGGTATAGGGGGGCATATAGAGGGTAATAATCTTATTCTCCTTATATAGATTTTAGAAGCTAAGTAACTTATAGCTCTTATAGCTATTAAGTATTATTAGCCTATAACTACCTACTTTCTTAGCCTCTATATACTTAATAAAGTGCTATAGCTAGGCAAGCCTAAGCTTATTTATTATCTATCTATTATTACTAACTCCTATTCTCTAATCCTAAGGGTTATAATACTAGGTCTAGTTATAGTTCTTAGCTTTAAAGATAATATAGGGTAGGATAACCTACTCTATAGCATTACTAGCAGCAATTAATATTACCTACTCCCTATTACTAGGCTAAACTCTAAGTAGCTTAAGGCGCTGCTTAGAGGCTGTTACTATCTTTACTAACCCCTTAACCCCTATCTAGAAGCTAGTCTTATTAAAGTTATATATATCTTTATCTAGGATGCTATACTTAGCTTTAATATTGCATATAAGATTAAACTAGAGGCCTATAATAGCTAGATTGCTATAGAAGACTTACTAGTAATTATAAGTTTAAGTTACTTAAGATTTAACCTTAGGTTAGTATTAGATTAGCCTATAGGCCTAGTTCTCTCTAATATAAGTACTACTATGCTTAGCTAGTAGCTAGTTATCTATCTTATATATATAGCTAAGCATAGGGGCAAAGCCTCTAGCATTAAGCTTCCTAATATACTATATAACTACCTCCTCTTTATACTTATAAAGCCTTAATAAGTTAGCTTAGATATTATATTATAAGGTTATTCTAGCGCGTTAGTTATAGAGAGTAGTTTTAGGCACGTTATAGATAGTAGCAGTGTGTTGCTAGCTTAGTAACGCGTTAGATTTAAGAGCTTAGATAGCAAGGATAATTCTATCTTTAATAGGAAGTAATTTAATATTATATTTTTAAGGCATTATAATAGTAGTAGAATCTAATAAGGTCTTAGTAGAGGTGCGCAGCTTAGTAGGGTGCGTAGCTTAGTAGTAGAACATATTAGTTATATATAAAAATTAAAAAAAAAACTTAGATTTATTATACTATGCTAAGTAACAGTCTATATAAGTAATAGAATATTTTAATAGCTTAAAGTATATTCTTAGCATCTAGAGTAACTATGCACTAGTTAGGTTGCAAAAACCTAGTTAGGTTGCAAAAACCTAGAATAGATTCTGCTACCCTATAGCTTAAGCAATAATATAAGTAATATATATATTAGTATATATAGGAAACTAGCTATACCTTTAATATATATAGACTATAGTATTATTCTAGGTTTATATATATTCTTTACTATACTAGTATAGTAAGGCAGAACTAGAATAATACTAGCGTCTCTATAGTATAAAGCAAGGGTTATTATATATTATTATTATGCAAGAGAGTTAACATTAAGGCCCTTGGTGCACAGAGACTCTTGCCTTCCTGCAATAATAATTTTCGCAGGTCACGTGACTTGCACTTTCACCTTGACCCCTACCTAAACCTAGAATGACCGCAACACCCCTCTGCGACGAAGCAACCCATGAACCCAGGATGAGCGAGGGTTATCGGCCACCCGGGAGTATCTCAGTATCTGCTCTTCAAACCCTTCTCTTCTGCCCTTTTGACCTGTTCTCTCAGAGTCTCTTCTTGCTTGATACTTAGTCGATTCAACCACAACTTTCTGATAGCATCCTCTAGTCTAGCACTGGCGTAATAAGAGTTTGTGTAATTATACGTGGTATTAGATATAGATGTAAGTAGAGCATTGAAAGATACGAAGCGGTCAGGCAATGTTGACTGGACAAGCTCTATAGGTGTATTACCAGTGCCTACAATAGTAAGCGGTCTGCAATGAATTTTTTCACCATCATAGTACGTGAGCCAATTCTTGTTCTGAAGAGGCTTTAACTGCGTAAGAAGAACTGGCCATATAGCATGCCTGTCACCCTTGAAGTCAATCAATAAGACGACAGAGACATTCGGATCTGCATCAAAGACGCCAACCTCTCTATCTTCGACTGAAGCCTGAGAGATGTTGCGCTTGTCAAAGATCCACAACAACGGCTTCAGATACAAGCTGTTCAATGTCCGCGCTTGCGTAGTGGTTTTCCACGAATGACTCACAAGTAGCTCACTGTCCTCCGCCAGCCACACGTCTGCTTCTACACTTACACACCCCGCCGCAAGCGCACTATAAAGCGGCACGGGCCGCCAGTAGTCGTTATGCGAGTGGCAATCTTTAGGTACGATATCGCGGCTAAAGTCAGCTCGCCATGCGAACTCATAAGTAGCGTTGGTATTAGGCTCCCTCCAGTCCTCAACGATATGCTGAAGGCCGCTGTGGTTGGGAGGTAGCTTAAGGTTGTAGAGCAGGATTGCAACGAGAGAAGAGTATACGCTATGCAAAATCAGCTATGTGTATAAGAAGGTGGGTTTGTGATCGCATACATGCCTGCGGTAAGGCTGAGAAATGTCAACGCAAAAACAGCAACTATAGCCCATTGATGTGAGTGTGGTTTCTGCCCCCTCTTTATTTGGTCTGGCCTCTCCGACCTTTGGTATCGTAGTCCACGCCAGCAGTCACCACTTTTCCAGGTCGTCCACCAGCTTTGGCGATATACCGCTACTGGGAGACGGTCCTCGATGCACATCATACTTGGCGAGGACCATCGCAGCTCTCCATCCGACTCGTCACCATATGCCTCCACTGCTAATATTTGCTCTTCAGAGAGTGTTGCCATGATATACAGGACAAATGAAGTGGAAAGCACAGTCAGGTCAAACTGGGTTTGTACCGAAGTCGAGTAATGGAATGATGGATATATTGATAGAGCGCAGGCCAAGAACTACAAGTCTTTCCTTTCCTGATTGGAAACTTCGTCTGATAATCTTCGGAGAGGATAAGAGCTAAATTGCGAATCACCCTTGCTGACAATAGGCGGGGACAGCTGGGTTACAAGGAGTTAGGCTCGGAGGCCAAACGGCCGTTCTATCCCGCCGTTTGCATCAGATCAACATGATCCTTGTTAGTGTTTGTGGTTCCAGTCTTGACTCAGATCCAAGTCTATCTCGAACACAGATGGTGCGGTTGGTATGGCTCAGGGTTAGGGTTAGAAGTCTGCATCAGCGGGATCACAACGACTGCAGATTGACCATGCACTGCACTGAGCTCAGCTTTGAAACCTTGACCTCCCCTCGGCGGTCATCTCTGATTGCTTTGTATTCAACTCGAGGCCTTCGCAAGCAAGGCGTCAGCCTTGTATTGCACATGCTCTCTAGGTGCTAGCGATATGGCACTATGCGTGGCGGAGCACTGCGTGGAACACTGGCAATGCTTAACGCTGCGTATTGAAGAGTGAAAACAACTACATCACATGCATCGAACGCAGCGCAAGCTTCCGCCTCGGATGCACGAACGGATACCACAGTATATGGAAAGCAGCTTCCCTGGTTCCAACACGCGATCCCATTGGCCAGTTCGCCTAATTCTCCGCAAACAGTGTAGCATTATCGCTTGAGTTGCTGCCTAGTTAGCTCTCTTAAGTCAAGTCGCTTTTTACTTTGTTCTTGGCTCCCTCATCTCGGCAGTATATCATTCGAATTGGGATTGTGCTAGCGTGTGCCCGCGCTGCACATTGTTACCGATACCAACGTCCGTGCGCGCGATTGTCTTCGGTCTGTATCATTACCATCTGGCTCCGGTGGATTCGGCGTGATTCTGTCAATGTTGCCGTTCCACCAAGTCATGGACCAGCCCGGACGGCCTGATAACTACATTGAGAGCAGCGGAAGTTGAATGTTTGCCTACGCACTGCTCAAAGGCAGGCGTGCGAGCTATCTCGAGGCTAATGCCTCGATATCAAACACGAATCTTGTCGATGTTGGACAGCGCGCATACGAGAATCTGAGGGACACATTTGTGGTGCACAATGGCAACGGAACGTTAGGCTGGACCGGCACTGTGAGTGTTCGCAAGCTATGACTATTACGTCCAACGACCGTTATTGTTCGATAGTGTATTCGGAAGTGCAGCGTTTATGACGGCGAGTTTAGAGGTAAAGAGGCTGGAAAGGTCAGATCTCTAAGTGTAAAGGTGCAGGCCCGGGGTGTCCAGACATCTAACCTACTAGAAGTCACTATCTTGAACTTTACATAATATAGCCTGAACAAGTTAACAAACTATAGAACTAGAGTGTATAAAATGATTTTGCTTAATCTATTAGTAAAATTATGATCAACAGCATCTCCTTTACAGAGTCAAGAGTAAGAGGGAGGTAAGGATTGGCAATGGTGTCTACTTATGTCTACTTGGACTCCTGCTAGACTTTCCTGAAGCAAGAACTAGAACCAATTGATAGCTACATAGGCGGTAGAGCTACAAGTTCTGGTTCAGTAGCCAAGCAAAACCATTCAACATGTCCTCATGTGCTTTTGTAGCTTTCTCAAAAGCTGGAAAGACTTGCCAAAATGCGTGTGGCAGCCCAGGGTACACGTCTAGTCTTATCTTGATACCATAATCCTCCCGGAGAACCTTCTCGTATAGTAGGCCCTCATCTCGGACAGGGTCCAAGCCACAGATCTGGAAATATGCAGGTGGCAATCCAGCATGTCCGTTTGGGTGGTTAAACGCTCCAAAGAGGGGAGAATAGACATCAGCCGCGTGCGACTTGCGGTACATGACTGTCATGCCATATCCGAATAGCTCTGGAGCTTGTTGAGCCTGTTCCCATGAGTGATAAAACGGTGTGTACTTCTCTGGATATGTTTCCGCCAGAGCTTTCTCCACCAACTACAAATCCTCTCGTGGGATTAGCTCCGAGCTCCACAGCGTTACTCGCAACCCATTGTAGCGCGTCCCAGCAGTCTCCGATCGGGGTGGGGAACGGGTGTTCGGGAGCAAGACGGTAGTCAACGTTGACACAAACAGCGTTGAAACGCTGGACGAGCCTTCGGCAGAAAGGTATGGCTATTGCAGAGCTGCCCACACAGCATCCACCAAGGTGGTAGTATACGATCAACGGCAATTGGTCCGATGCCGATTTCGGACGATGGATGCGAAGTGAAATGTCGAAGCCGTCTCTTGCTTGAATGATCTTGATGAGCTCTTCAACGCCTTCTGGTGGTGGGCTTGCGCTGAGCTTTTCCTCCATTTTTTGCGACATAGCTCGGACAGCTTCGAGGTCAGGAGGGGTAGATGAGGAGGGCTGGTCCGCGAGAAACTGTGCCCATCGTTAGTAGCGCAGCTTTTGTAGACTTCGTAGAAGACGTCTAAATACCCTTTGGAGTGCTGGATCAAGGACTACGAGCCTCTGAGATGTAGCGTAGTTCATCTTGGGTACTTTTAAGCTTCGCTTGCAGCAAGGGAGATAGAAGAGCGTAAAAACGGACACTTGAGAGGGATTTCTGAAGGTGTAGTATTCAGCCAATTGAACAGAATCTGCTCTCTCAAATACTTTTCATGGCACTCTGTTCTCAGAATGGCAGGAGTATTGTCGCTATCGCTCGATAGGTGCTTACCCGAGTACCGAAGAGACTCTGAGTCGATCTTCAAATTGACCTGGTCAGCCAAAGGTCTTTCACCTAACCTCCCCAGCTATAATGACGAATGGCAACAAAAGCTTGGTGATATTGACGCCCAAGATAGCGTAAGTAGCAATGGGACACTTGCTGGGGAGAATGGGTTCTACAAATTTGCCGCAGCTAAAGTGGCACAAGGATCTACTAGTAACGTTCTTACTGGTCGGCTCGGAAACTAAGCCTATTATGTTTGAAATCCAACCGAGTGCCACCAAACTTGATTCTTCGAGTCTATTCCAAGACACGGGGATGGAGGCGTGCATCGTCCAGTCCATAGTCTTTGTGGCAAGGGATGGCCTGTTTTAGAATGTCTGGTATGATTTAATCCTTGTACAGGTGTTTATAACTAGATAGAGCGACGCAGCGTGACCAGTTTCAGCAGGAAGATTTGGAGCATTAAAAAATTAGTTGATCGCAAATTGCCTGCGTCTTGCTGGGAGGTCGCGGCATTCAGGTTCCAGAGGACTCGGTCAATAAGGATCAAACCCGGCTTCCCTCCAACGCTATCTCGAGAAAGGGAAACTAACTGTGTCTTGACACGTGTCTAGTGAAGATGTCGCTGGTGGCCTTACGATTGGCAACAGTCACGCTTGGGTTAGAAATCACTCTCAAGTAAGAGGTCCCTCTTTGTTGCAGCCGTGATAGCCGCACCTGGTGACCGTACGGTTGGGATAATGGTGGTAGGTGGAAGGTTCGTAGTTTCACTGTGGCCTCGTTGCAACATATACGTAATGAGGTCAATGGGTTTCGTGTGAAGACGACTCGTCTTCAGATTGATTTCTACTGAACCACTTTGCATAAATTCATGATCTAGTCACTAGATCAACTTAACGCTTTTCACCGCCGTGAAGTCGATGGCCCGTCTTTCCAGTGCTATAATTGTAGCCTTTCACGGATGACATTCTTTTCTTGATATGTTATAATATCATCAGCGTTGTCGGCAAAGACCTTCTGGATAGACATGGTGATAGCATTCATCATGTTTTCGCTGAAATCTTTCTTAACCAGGGTCTTTTCAAACTAGTAGTGGCGGATCAACTTGCCCTGGCAGTGGGACACATGGACTCCAGGAAACCCATTCGCCTCGCCGCATGGTATCTCTTTAATTGAGTCGTTATAGTCGTAACGAATATATTCGCCAAAGGCTGATTGTTCATGGAATTTGGGCCGTTTCCACTGAGAACACATTGGATAGCGTGTATTATCAGGGCACTCGTGCCAGTCCTTTAGGATAGACATTATCTCTGTGTTATTTTGGATAATCATAAACCCTGTGTTGGCATATGTACGGTTGAAGCGGTCCGAGTTGTACTGAGGCTCTTGGGGGTCCCATGGGTCTAGAGCCATAGTAACAGAATGCTTAGGCTCAATGCGCCAGTAATTCAGCATCCACTCAATTGGTATGTGTAGGAAGCGGAATGTAGCGTCAGCATCCAGAAAGACAATAAACTTGTAGTTGCTAATATGGTTGGCCAGGGCAGAAGGCTTAATCCAAGTAGCATGTCTGTCTTTAAATTGTTCCGCGTGGATAAGCTTGTAGTCGTAGCCATGGATTGTGGCATATGTATAGTGGTTGAAAACTCCCCTAGAGATGTGATCCAGTTCACGCCAGTCAAATTTTCCACGCCTATAGTCCTTGGTAGATTTTAGTGGACGCGTCTCCAGGTCAAGAATCAGAACCTGCTTGCCCAAAGACGTCTTGAAGCGCGGATTGAGTGGTAAGTCAATCCTGGGTTCATCGCCCGGAAGAACGAACTTTTCCGTCGGCGAGATCTTCAAGGGTTCGAAGAGCACAGCTAAAACGTCATGGATAGCGTCGATCGAGGTGATCCCCTGTGGTAGGGGCTGAGACTCCTGATGTGTGGTACTGTTGTAACTGCTTAGTAAAGGTCCTCAACTCAATCAGACAAAAGGCAAGTGTTGACGGTAGAAAGGAATTCGAAGCAGGGTACCCTTCTGTAGGATGCAATGCTCCTACACAGTACCTACATGCTAGAAAACGTAGAAATGGGCAACAGACTATGCGGGAGAGTCTGCCAAGCGAGATGTCCCAAGATGAAAGTCGAGACAAGACCCGTCGAAATGAATATGCGATACAGTAGGCGGCGCGTGCTGGGAAAGGGATGCATTGGGGCAGGTAGGCGAAAGTGAATTTTCTGCGAATCCAACGACAGTGTGGGCAGAATAAACAATAATGACCGCGGATAGCCTTAGTGACAAAGCAGAGGACACGTGAAGTAGATGAGGTGATAGTAGCCAGAAGTGACACTAGTATTGAAAGAAGCAACGTAGAAACCGAAGGCTATGCCTACATCAAATATGTCAACACGAAGGCCCGATTTAGCCTTGATACCCAGTATTTGTTACTTACCATGCATGGACATGGCATGGGTAGCAGCACACAAAAAGCATACAGTGGGGTGCGTAATCTTTGATTCGCTGTCACGCACACGAGAGGAGCCCAGATATGATACGAGATCTGTGATTATGATGGCAGACGAAACGATTCACTCATGCAGCCTATCACTGAAACAAGCTATAATGATGGGGATCCAAGAAAGCTCAGCCTCCGCTACACGTATGTACAGCCGACATCGTGCACGTGCCGTAGCGCAAAAGGCTTAGTTTCCGAGCTCACCAACAGGAACGCTGCATTCCTATGACACTTTAGCTGCAAAGCACTGGATTCCGCGCACCCTATCCACTGTCCTACCAGGGGATGCCTAGAATGAGTCGGCATATGAATTGCCACCACCACTCTCTGAGACCAATTGCGTTGTCTATAGATGTAAGTTTTTCCCGTAGGAAGTAATCGTAGGCCTTCTCGTTTGGGAATAACCCGTACGGGGGCCACCCGGTGTATCGCTTGTCATCTCGGTGACCTGCAGTTACCAAGCAACTTATCCTCAGACAAAAAAGCTTCCTCAGTTATGTCCTCGGCCGAACTGCGTAGCGAGCTCGAATCAGTGTATTGTCATCTACATATATTTAGGAACTTCAGACCTCACTCATGCGTTGTTCTATTCAAGATCCAAGTTTACCAACCCTCAGACAATTAAGGTGTCGTCTACGCATCATGTCTCTCGAGAATACCCTGGCTGTCATCAGCCAAGCTGGCTGCAGTCTTTCCTTCTTCAATCTTATAACTTGTGAATGTGTTTTGCACATCACCAACCTCAGAGCTCAGCCACACGAGCTTGCCTACGACGCTCAGACGAAGCGCCTTTTCATTTCCCATACCTACAAATATGGCTTCTACAACAAGCACGGCGAATACGCGCACCATATCAGCGTTTTCGACGTCAAGAAGAAAGCTGTGGTCCAAGTGATCGATCTATCACCTTACCGTGGTCCACATGGCGTAAAGCTCTCTCTGAATGGAAATATGCTATACGCTGCGATTGAAGATGGATTCGAAGAGGATGGTCCAGGCGGAGTCATCGGTATCGATGTGTCCAAGAGCGAGTTTCCAATTGTAAAGGCAGTGGCCGGCGCTGCTCGCTCGCATTGGCTGGTCTTAGCCGACAACGATAGAACGGCCTACACGACTAACAAAGAGATCGATTACATATCTGTCCTCGATCTCGTCACGCAAAGAATGCTCAAGAAGATTCCTTTTCCTGGTAGTGAGGAGGGCGATGTATCTTCAGATGGGCAATTTGTCTACTTCCCATTCCCAACGTTGAGTTTGACTTCTGTAAAGCCTGCAGACGAGTTTGGGTTCAAGGTCATAGATACTCGTACTAACGAGGTTACAACCACGGTGCTGACTGATGTGCCGGTCATGTCGGTAAAAGCTCTCTCGAGTGATAGGGTTCTCGTGATACACTTCGCGTCCGAGATTGATGCCACCTCAAGGCTTCTAGTCCCCTCTGAAAAGCAAGGTGTCATTTTACAGCACCTTGGCCTGGAAACCTGAGGGAGAGGTTGAAGTGGGCTTGTTCCCCCTGACAACGCTGATAGGGAATGATGGAAAGACGGCCTATGTGGCGAACATGGCTTCTGGAACCGTGGATATCATCGACGTATCACGGAAGACGATAGTCAAAACCCTCAAAGTTGATGATGGCTTAGGGAAAACACAGAATGCACCAATCAACCAGGGTGCGCATGGAATGGCGTTGATTAGCTAAGGTTATAGAACCATTTCCTAGCAAAGTAGCACAATTCAACGGGCACGTCTCTGTTGCATGTCAGTAAGAGCGATCTACGTTGCAGAAGTTGCCTTAACGTCTCAGTAAAATAAAAGACAAAGCTATCATCTCTGTGACCGTACAATAGTAGACTAGAAACCCAAGTCATGAGATTGTCGTGTCGCAAAAGTTCACAGCCGCACTAAGTATCGCCCTACTTCAAGAACATATAAATAAAACTGAGAGAATGATGATAGCGCAGAAGAACAGGCAAGATTACTAGTAGGATTCAAAGGTCGCGAGGCGATGATTTTCAGTGGAAGTGGGCAATCTTTTATTCAGCCTGCTAGCCTAAGGAACGTGAATACAATTCTGCCATTTCTTAGCCCTTACATCTACTCAACGCAGATCAAGCTGCTGATGTGTCGATGGACGGAAAGAATGAAGGGAGTCATAACCCAACTCTGATCACTTGACCCGGCGAATCATCGAGACCCCCCCCCCCCCCCTACCTTTTTTTCTCTCGCCCTTTCGCGGCGTATATCGATTATATAATCACCTGAAGTGCACTTATCTTACGATAAGCATCATACAGTTCAACAGTTTTCAGCTTTGCGGGCACACGGTAAGGCTCAACAGTTCATTTTCTGCACTCTTGAATGCATGTAGGTTGTTTTAACAGAGTAGTGGATAACCGCAGTGAGGACCTAGAGAGTTCTCAAAAGAATTGAGCAAAGGGAGCTCGGAATCAAGAGAAACAAGGAAAGCACAATCACGAAGTCCTACAGCGCGGCCAAACTAAAACTCCGCAGCGCTTCGGATATATATGTACAGCATGAACAGTGGATGCCTGTTTTGTCACAAAGTTTGCGCCATGTTGCGGCTGTTAGTTTGCTTAAGAAGTAGAATGGCATTTTTGTCTCTTTGCGCTGGGCCTTCATGCGTGGATGCGCATGACTCATGAGAAGCCAAGCAGTACAACTAGCTCTTTCATCATGTCCATCCGGACGTTAACACTTAATCGATGGTGCAATCCACCAAGCACTGCTTAGTCATGTTCACCGCCCTCTTCAATTGTTGTACACTTCGGGCCGCCCCTTGCATCTCGTCAAAGACTGATTCAGTGACTGTGACCTCGACTCCAGGGGGTCGAAGAGCCAGCATGGCGACAGCCCGAAGCACTGCACAAAAGAATATGCTGAATGCAGCACCAAGGCGGGTTTCAGGAGTAAGTTGGCATACTCTTGACTGTTGAATGGCTGCGAAATCGTCTTTCCAAGCTCGGAGCTTCTCGAGAATAATATGCCTGTCTCTGACTAGAAATGCGACTTCGCTAATCGAACATAACTGCGAAACTCCCTCCAGGAAACTCAGGATGGATCTAGCAATGGCAGCAAGTTGTATATTCGCATTCACAAGAGTGGATCGCTCTGTCAAAAGCATCACAGAACTTGGCTGTCCTGCATCCGAGTCCAGAAAATCCTTGGTCAGTCCGCCCGGGCAAGGAGTCAAGAATAGTTTGATGGCGAACACATCAACGTTCGAAATTCCGGTACATCGTGCCGCCAAGAGTTTGCCGCCCGCACCAATATACGGGCGACCGCGCCCTTGATACATGATGCAAAGACCACGAATTAAGTGCTGGGTAGCCGAATTGAAGTCGTCCAAACCCAGCTCAATGCTGATGAACATCTGGCAGCAGAGTAACGAGTACTGGATAGCGTAGGCATCATGATTGGAAATGCGCATGGCAAGGCTTCTGATTGCGCGATTGTATTCTTTCAAGCCATCTTGCACGTCCAGACCGCCCGTAGGGATTTTGTACACGTGACCAATACACTGCTCAAAGGCCCTGCGTAAAGTACTCAAAGACGTCAAGGCATGACGAACAGCAGGCTCTGACGTCGCGCAGAGAGTCGCCCGAGCCTCAGACTCATAGCTCATGCCTGTTTCGTAACTCATGCCCATTTCAGGAACCGGTTTGATGGTGAAGTGTCTGGCGAGATACCGCACTTGCTCTGGGCTGGGTAATCGGCCCAGTAGCAGCGGCCAAGGAGACGGATTGGGCGGCTCTCTCAAAGTCACCTCGGAAGGAATAGTAGTTTGGGCACTGGCGACGACGCGAAAGTTTGACGGGTAACCGTCGCATGTTCTACCTGTTGTGGTGCACCGCATGCATGCTGGCTTACGTTCGTCGCACTTCACCCTCCGTATCCTGGCCAGAAAAATTTAGCTTGCTAGATCCAGGGTATTGAATAGTTGTTTAATACACATACCTGCAAGTGATGCAGCCTGTTCTAGTTCTGCACACAATGTGGGACATACTTAGCAAACAGACTGCTTCCTTTCAGAATGTTTACCTGGCCTGAACGCGAAGTACACACGTCTTAGAGCAAATAGGCACGCCTGATGTTAAGGCGGAGGAACAATCCGGCTGCGTAATGCTTAGCGCTAAGTCATGCCGCATACCTAATCCATCAATCTGGTGTTCGGGGGTATCTTCAGTGCTACCAACCTACTTTAGGATTAGATAGATTTAACTCATCGGAAGGGCACGCGATGACGCTACGCTGTATACAGAGCATTAGGCGAGCTAGCCAATGATACCGCGTGTTCTATTCGAGCACGGGCTCGCACATCTCCACGATCGCGCTTGCCTACAGCCGAAGGATCCGATCTTGACATCCTTCCCTGGATCCGGCTCTCACAGGAACGGCTGAAACGGTCTATCGAGCGTGATTTGGACCCGATCTTGGCTCCAGAGGCAAGCAGCCATACAGAGCCACGACACACTACAACCGACACCAATGGAACGACACTGAGATCAACAGGCGTCCTGGTGGAATCTGCTAATCCCCTGACTAGCACCATCGCGGACCAGCGCGTATTGGCCGCTGTACCGAATCTCGTGTAAACTCTTTGCCAGATTAGGAGCAAGGCGAAATGGCCTGGCTAGTGGGCGATGCGGACAAGCAGTACGATAATGTTTCGAGCCATACACCGAATTCGCCGATGAGGCTCCCATTCGCAGCCAGATAAAGCAGGGCCTTGAACAAGTCCATTTGGCAGGGCGAAATTGCAGGCGGCGACGGGCCTGTCAGGGTCCGAGGGGCGGCTCAGGCTGCGGGGCTGGGGCCTGTGGTCGCTGCAAGAGCCGGCAATGAGGCTGGGGAGGCTGTTTGCGATCAGTCAGTAAGGTGTGAACTGGGAAGTCGCGCGTTTCCAGGTCGTGTTGGTCGACGCTTGGGCGAGAGAACGGCGAGCAGGACGCCAAAAACAAATCGGTATAGCGTCGACGCCTATTGATGGCGGGGAGGGCAAAGATGATGCTTGCTCACGACATATTCCAACGCTGAGGACGATGGCGATAACATCTTAGCAAGCCTCCCGCGCAGGTTGAGAAGCATGTTGAGCGGGCTTGAGGATGTATGTATGGGGAAAGGTGTCTATGCGGAGAGAATTGTTTAATTGTACAACACCAGCTGCAACCAGAGATCAGTAAGACATTCCCACAACAGACATCTTGATAAGTATTGATTTGTGCCTTAGAACATTAAGCACCCGATCATCATCATATGAAGCCAGACTACTAAACAATTATGCCGCAATAATATGGTGCTGTACAGGTCGGTAAGTACGACAAATAAGAACCTTGGAAGCTCTGGCAAATCTTGATGCTGTTTTAAATCAGTCAAACTCTCAACAAAGACTCGCGAGGTGAAGATTGATAGTGATAGGTGGTGCATGTAATAATTATCTACGATCACTACTGTGAGACCATGGCCATGGAGCAGAAGACTTTGCCAAGGCCGTCAGCAGTCGCCACGTTTTCGCGGCTTCGCAGCCTAGGCGGATCTCTCACACACGGCAACCCCTAGGCATCAGCCATGCACCTATATCATTATCACTAAGCATAGAACCTTCTGCGCTTTATCATATGACTGAAACCAGCTATCCATTCACATCAGCATACATCCCATCTGCCTTGCAACGCACAACCGAAGCTCGGTTACCCGATTTTGCGACGGAGCTGCCAAGTTGCGCCCTTGCGACAGCTGCTCATCACGTTAGGGGCAGTTTGCGGTATAACAAAACCTGACAGGTAGGAACAAATACCCTGACTGTAAAGTAGCAGATGAGGCAGCTGGGGAAATGTGATGGATGCAGGAAACGAAAGGTCAAGGTAATAAGCATCCCCACTTTTGTCCAACGCAAGGCGTGCGCAACACAAAACGACGCCTCATATTGATGCCATTACCGAGGACTGACCTTGAGATAGTGTGATGAGCAAAAGCCATCATGTGGTGGGTGCCAGAAAGGAAATCGACAATGCAACTACTCCTACCCACACGGACGAGGCTTTGCACTGGTAATTCAAGATCCAAGCCAGATGACAAGATACGGAAGATCCATGACCACTTCGGTCATTTATCCTCTTAGTGCTCCGCAAAGCAGCGATGAGTCTCCTACATTAGACTCTGCCTCAATATCATCTGCTGAGTTTGCAATTGCCCCAGTGCCGGATGTTTCTAACCTTCATTTAAAAGGAGGTATCGTGGCTTCAGATGGACGCGGGATCTTTCAGACGTTGGCACCAACCAAGATGAAGCTCAAAAAAGTATCAAGAAAAGTCGAGGCCAATGAGAGAAGGAGATTTAATGAGCATCTGATCCGTCTGCTACAAGACACATCCCTGGCAACCCATCGACCTTCCTGCACAACCACAAGAATAGCAGCTATGTTCTCGGATATGCTTCGCCCAGACTCCACACGACACCAACAGTTCTTTGCTCTCGGCAATTGGGTCTCGTCGGTTCCATCGCGTGTTGGGTTCAGCCCTGCCGTCACTATGGCAGCCGAGTTCCTGGTCCAAAGCTTCGACGCCCATTACGATCGGTCGCATTCAAAGCACACATCAGTATTAATTACCAAGAATAAGGCTATCAAAGAGCTACAGCTCTGCATACTCGCGTCGCAGCAGCACCCGACCTATGATCTTGTGCTTGCGACTAAGCTGCACTATGCTGCTGAGGTGATTGCGGGTGTTCTTTCATCTCCGATAAACTGACGTGAGCAGGTTCTTCTTGGAGTGGGGAGCTTGCATTACGCCATTCATACGATCGGTCTCATGGACCTTCTTAAATCCGGAGTTGCCTCTGGCGCCGATTTACATCACTTCTGGGACATCTTAGATAATACCTACATCGACGATGTAAGTCAGCCGGACTTGGACTACTATTGAGTAAAGATCACTAACAGCAGAGAGATTACTATGGCGATGATGGCTGGCAGACCATCAATATATGACAATGATGTGTATCTGTCTGCGACACACCCTGCAGCGTTGATGGATCACAACCTCACTCAATCACAGAAAACGACAAGAGCCATGATGCATATACTCATACAATGCCCTCGACTCACTGTAGCCATACGTTATGCAATCCGAGATCCGACCAACGTCATTGCCGTTGCAACAGCGATTTCCCTTGCCGAGAAACTATGGCATCTTACTCAACTGAGCGATTTCGACAATTTTATCAATGCATCGATCGAGCACACGGATAATGAAGTCGACGATGCAGTGGCAGACATTCTTCTTCGTGGCATCCGCTTCAGTACTACCCCGGCCATGGTCATTGGAACAAGATACTGGTTGCTTCAAGTCATGCTCTGTGGTACCGTTGATACGTTGTTCCGCAGATTTCCTGCTGAGTATGCCTTATCATTACTCCCCGATCCTGACACTTTATACCAAACGAATACAGGGGCTGCGATGCAGCTCGGTAGAATGGTGTCTGGCCTTGGAGCGAACCCTTCACCATTAATATTGGTTCGCATGCACGGGCCGCTCTCAGTATGCATTGGAGCATGGTACAGACAAATCCGATATCTTACCTCGCGTTATTCTTGCTTTGATCAGGGAAACGCAGACAAACTCTTTGCGGCCGAGAGGATGAAGAAGTGGATCTCGACAAGATGCAACGCTCTCTTGAAACTATTACACATCAACCCCGTCGACGAAGACGCCTTAATAGAGGCATTCGACTGCACGGCGGGCGAAGAGATTGCCGACTGGATACCCAGTAAAGTGGGCTACGGCCTTGAAGATGGTGAGATGGTCATGAAGTTCGAGTACAGCGATCGTACTGCGAATGGCGACCTCCGTTTGCACGGTGGCACCGGTGCGACCCGGGTGATTAATGTTCGCAATCCTGCAAATTTTGGGCCCCAACACCTTCGAGCGTGGATCCGAGGAAATAGTGGGCCATGCTCAGGTTAATGTAGTTGGATGGATGCGGATTTTACATCCAACGGCAATGCAATGGCTCACGCTAGTAGGGCGACTTAACAAGGGTTCGGCTCAGCATTTTTTCTTATGATGTCTATTCGAAGCACAATCTCGTGTCAATTTAGTCCTTCAGTATGGCAGCGAGTCTATCTACTCGGCACTTACGAGGTGAGATTAGAGATCCTTCGAGGAGAACTTCAGTCGTCAACCCCAAAGACCGATCTTCACTGGTTCCACTCGTGCTGAGGCTGTACTTGATGAATCGAAGGACTTCAAGGCAAGCTCGTCGTATTCGCGCAATGCAGCAGCGATGAGATCTAAAAATAGTGTGCAGTGCTGCTTACAAAGGCTTAGCCTACTCCTGATCGATGACTCCACCCGAGATATTCTCACTTGGTTCATTCCTCAGAATGAGAACCAACATCCATCAATACTCATGGCGCACCAGGCACATAGCATTCCCTGGCAGGCGCTTGTCGATAACCTGAAGTTCATGCACTGCAGTCGACGTAATCACGGCATCACAAATCTGTACCTGCGTAACACAAGACAGCACCAAGAGAAGGAGCTGCAATACTTTATAGGTGGCTTCTCCCGTGCGTTATCCAGATACTCCGAAATCGAACGCAAAAAGTACAATACGGACCTGGATCATCCCGAATTAGACGAGAAGGTCATCTCGGACGATGCAGTCAAGAAAATGGCGAGGACGGTGCTGAGTTACAGAGGGGGCGATGGTCAGGTCCCTGTTTACATCCCAACGCACAGTGTACTCTCCCAATACGAGTGCACCACTCAACGTTTCATCTCAGACACCCATCCAGGCGAGGGCGACATGAACGACTGCATCCGCGATGTCTGCGAACAAGTCAAAACGATGATGTTGTATGGAGAAATGGACTCGCTTCTCCGAGTGGCTGCGCATCCGTCTGTACGCTTCAGCAGGCTTTGGGATGAGACCCAGTTTGCAAATGCGCACGGGTTCGGCCTCAGCAAACTCAAAGACTCTGCGCTCCAAGCATATATATGCCTCAACGTAATGTTTCTCAAGCCTGAACTTTACGATGCGACAAGTCGTAAAGCGTTTGTCGAGCGAGAAACCAAGAAGAATCGAACGACGTTTGCCACAGAATCGTATGATTACAGACTGACAGCGGCATATCAGCACATGCTTCTGTGCTGCACAGGAGTTCGGTACGGCTCCAATCACTATGAAGTGCACACGTATCCGCATCGCGAGTTTTTCGGCGTTCCAAGCGGAATGTTTCACGTGGAGTCCGCCGACTGTCGATGCAAACGTCAACTTGGGACCGTTCGCATTCCGGACATAGTTGATGAACCCTTCAAGGGAATCTACATTGCCTCGCAGGCAGACATCCCAATTGTGCTGGATCTGATAAAGTCAAAAGGGCTACCCACTGAGCTTGCGGTGCAGATCATGCACCTGGCGGATTACACGTCGGTAGGGCGACTCCTTGTTCGTGATGATCCCCTGAACCTCATCAACACGGACGAGCTGAAGCAGTATTTGGGATATTGTTGGATGCTGTTAGTCAGGCTTGATATGTTGTGTAAAGCAAGTGGTCAGTGGTTAGATTGGGAAGCCGAAGTAACAGATACGATATGCACGTTGTTTGAGATGGATAGTCCTAGTCGCCGCAAAGTGGAACTTGTTCCATATGCTGACACAGACTTCAGTGGACGCACTTACAAGGTTGTTTTCAAAACATAATAACAATCATCCAGACGGAAATCTCAACGTCGGCGAAAATATGAGCAGCTGCCTGTACACTGATTTGCTCATAGAAACACATTGATATAATAAATGATGTTCTTAGATGACTAATTGCATCGACCGTTCGCATTGCCTGTCGTTCAAAAAAGCAGCAAACAACCGACGATATCAATCTCAGCGCGCATCATGTTTATGCGCCGAATTCGTGCCATACATACACTGGGACCCACGCATGAGGCTTCTCAATGCGGTTGAGATCGATCATGAACAAGCGATTTGGCTTATCGCTTTGTGGAGAGGGAGTGTGGACCCTGAGACGGCAGAGGAGCTCTTCGGAGCTGGCATCGTTAAGTTTGATGAGTTATAAGAACAGATGATGAGAACTTACAAATCTAACAAAACCTTGGAACAATTCTACCGAACAAGAGGCACGGCTGCACACGTGCTCTCCAATAATTGTTGATCTGGATTTAGCAGCCAATGAGCATTCTCCGTGCCCTATACCCGTGTTTTCTACGGCGCTTCTAAAGCAGCGGCGCTAACCTACGCAGCACGCTTCATTCTTATTAGCCGCCCGCTCTATAGTCCCACAGTGTGCGCTATAATATAAAGGGGGCTCTATCTGCTTTGAGTCAGGTGGTCAAGTCCTACCTACATCTTGAATTTTGAGGTAGACTCGGTAACAAGCAAAGACTGCTTTCAGCGGCCGGCTATCTGGCAACATGCTCTTATTAGATTTGCCGTTGGAGCTACTACACGAGATCCTTGGCTGGTCTATTCTGATCCGAGGCATTAAGCGTGGTCTTCGTTTACGGCTGGTGAACAGTAGGTCTGGCCTCACGCACTGCACGGTAACCGACTTACCGGTACTGCAGAGATGTTTGCCCGGGAAGTTCTAGTCACGCTTCCCCTCTTCAAGACTTTAGATCCCTACCCTCAGCCTTCGAAAGTCAGCGGAGACACGTCCATACTCCCTATAACTACGACTTACCTTGAGCGCCGTGTGCTGAATGAGCGTCAAGGTGGGTCCGCAGTCCTGCTTCGAATCCGTAGCGTTGCCGCCCAGCTGTGCCAGGAAAGTGTGGACGGATCAGACGAACAAGAATACATCAAGCAACTGTGCCCTCTCGTGATAGAGACGTGCAGAGTACATCTGGATGAGATCTGGTCAGTTGACCAAAATGTCTGCAAGAGGAAGGGAGCTATTTACAGCAATGACCTAGCTTCTGATGTGTACCTTGCTGCGTTGTACACAAATACTTGGCCAGTAGTTACGAGATGGGCCAGAAGTGGGAGAAGCCTCTTGCAACGCAGTTTGATTTTTGGTGACGCGCGCAATCATGCGGCCAGGTTTGGCAGCACCCAAGTCCTGGCAGCGATGATAGAATCGCGCCACGAGGATACTTTCCAGATGATGCGGTCTTACTTCCTGATGAGAACAGCTGAAGCCGGGCGTATGGAGATAGTACGTTTTGTGTTCAACTTCAAAGCTACGCAGCATCCATGGGCATTTGCTAGGAAAAGGTCGAGACCAATATACCCATTTTTCAATGAGCAGGGATTGGCAATGCTGAATACTCCAAGTAAAGAGGTCTTCGACTTCATTACTGAAAAACGAAGGATCCATTGTACCACAAGAACGTATGGTGTCAAAGAGAACACCAATTTCCTACTCCATTGTGCAAGAAAAGGATGGGCAGATATGGCCGCCCAATATCTCGCTCTTGGAGCACTTGTGGACGGTCCCGAATCCGGTTCAATTGATGAAAATCAACGCCCACTTCTTCTTGCATGTAAATACGGACACGAGGATGTTGTCAGAGTGCTACTGGCCAATGGCGCAAGCACCACTGCGCCAGCATTAGAAACAGCTGTCAAGCACGGGCAATTTACCATTGCCTACCTACTTCTTGATCAGGGTGCAGAGGTGGGAAGAGCTGTGGCTGAAGCAGTAGCGAAAGGATATCGCGTAATGGTTCATACTCTACTAGAGCGCCGGACAGATGCTAGAGCAGGGTTGCAGGGGTTGCTTGTGCGCGCTTTTGAGCTGGAGGACGAGGCATTGTTCCAGCTATTGGTGCAGCATTCTGGAGGGGTAGTAGAGGAAATAACTCGGTCAGAATGCGCGAGGGTGGCCAAGGAGAGGGGACTAGAGTCTATGAGCAAAACGTTATAGGTGATGACAGAGAAGGTTACTTGATTATTCCAACTCTTCGCAACGCTGCCGCCTGTTCAACATGCATGGGGTGACACCAACAGCTCTTAACGTCGCAAACACCACTCTAGGACGGAGCTCGCGTTGTTGGAAGCGGGTAGGTGCAAATCCACATCTTGGGTGCTCACTTGTCGATCGTCGGTCAGCGGCAATCGAGCTGGGCGCCGCCGTTCAAATGCCGACAGGCGGCAGGATGCAACGCGAAAGATGTCCCCGAACAGCCCCGACCAATCATATGGGGCCGCTTAGTTGAGCCATCCTACGTCATCAACTTTGGCGCTCAACCATCATTGCAATCAAAGCTCGCACTCACGAGCATGAGGGCGAAGGCCCAGCGTTGCAATGTGGGCAATGTAGTTCATGCAGCGACTGTCAAGACAAAGTCGTCTGCTGCCAACCACTCTTGTTGCAAGTGGTGGGTGCTTGGCGGAAAGCTTTTGTGCAAGAACGGCCCACGCGGAGCCTCCCCGAAGGCCGCGATAGCGACACGGCGGGTTGCCGAGTCGAGGCGTCATCTTCTTCCCCTCAATGCTGCTCCCCGAATACCCGGCCAGATCGACCTTGAGGCGTTCTTGATCGTTTGCAGGCCGTGGCGGCACTCTAGGAGTTCACACAAGCCTCAGCAGCTTCTCTGAACTCTGTGTTCCCAAGACCTAGCGCGGAGGCTGAATCTGGGGCCGCGTGGTTAGATCCCACGGGGAGCTTTTCCCCACAGTCACGAAAGCGCAGATCGCACGATGACATGATTCGTCGCGCAGAACCTGCCCGCGATTGAGGGCAGCATATAAAGGCATCGTCATTCCTTGCTACAGACCGCACGACATCTGCGCTTCCTATCGCAACGTCTTACGTTCAAGCTACTTGATCCTTGGGCTTCTTGGGGCATCATCCTTTGTCGCACGCCATTTGGCCTTCCATCAACATGGACCAAATTCACAAACTTAACGTAGTGCACCGATATGAGAAGCGAAGTCTTCTCATTGCGTAAGCTCTCTTTTCTTCACAAATTGGAACATGGCTAACAATGGGGCTAGGATCAACTGCATCGCCGGTCTTGCCATTCTCTTTTTCGGTTATGATCAAGGTACTTCAATCCTGTGACAAACATTGCGCGAAAGCTGACTTTGAACGAAGGTATGATGGGCGGTGTCAATACCGCGTACGACTACTACACCCTTATGGGCTTCGGTCACAAAGATGAGAACGGCGAACCTGTCGTCGACAACGCTCTGCTTCAAGGTGGCATTGTGTCCGTGTACTATCTCGGTACCCTGATAGGTTGCTTGGTCGGCGGATCAATTGGCGACCGCTATGGTCGTATCAAGACTATCTTCGTTGGAGCAGCCGTGGCCACTGTTGGCGCTTGTCTCCAGTGCTCAGCGATGAATCACGAATGGATGATTTGCGCACGCCTGGTCAATGGATGGGGAACCGGTATCCTGAACGCTATCATCCCTGTCTGGGCTACCGAAACGGCTGAGCATACATCTCGTGGTCAATTCATCGCCATCGAGTTCACGCTGAATATCTTTGGTGTTGTTATTGCGTACTGGCTGGAATACGCATGTTCGTTCTACGGCGACGGTACGTCGTCGTTCATCTGGCGCTTTCCGGTCGCGTTCCAAATTCCAATGCTCATGGGTCTCATGGCTGGCGTTCTATTCTTCCCAGAGGTATGTCTAACTGCGATGACAGCAGGAGGAAATGCTGATATGTTATAGTCTCCAAGATGGTTGGTCAAAGTTGGCCGTGAAGCGGAAGGTCGCTACATCCTGGGTCGCCTCCGTGGTGACTCAGGTGCGGATAAGAAGAAGGCCGAAGCTGAATTCCAGGACATCGTCGCATCCTGCGAGCTTGAGCGATCCAACTTTCGCAAGCAGAGTTATTTCCACATGCTTTTCGGTATTGGATCCGGCAAGATGCACACTGGAAGACGTGTACAGCTGGTAGTGTGGCTTCAAATCATGCAAGAGTGGGTCGGCATCGCTGGAGTCACCGTGTATGCGCCGACCATCTTTGGTATCGCTGGAATGAGTCCTGCAAAGCGACAATGGATTGCCGGCCTTAACAACATCTTCTATATGTTTGCCACGCTCATCTGCGTCTTCACGCTCGATCGCATCGGTCGTCGATGGACCTGTTATTGGGGTTCAGTCGGTCAGGGTATCGCTATGGCGCTTGCCGGAGGATTTTCATACCTTGGTCAGCAGGCGACGATCAATGGTGACGCTGGCAAAGCATCCGCCTACGGCAATGCGGCGGTGTCCATGGTCTTCATATTCACGTCCGTGTTTGGAGCGACCTGGTTGACTGTCCCATGGTTATACCCGGCGGAAATATTTCCGCTCGAAGTGCGAGCCAAGGGCAATGCGTGGGGAGTCGTCGGTTGGTCAATTGGTAACGGCTGGCTGACCCTGCTCTGTCCCATTATGTTCGAGGCAATTGGCGAGAAGACTTTGTACATCTTCGCCGCTTGCAACGCCATCACTATCCCCATGGTCTGGGCGCTATATCCCGAAACAAACCAGCGCACGCTGGAAGAGATCGATTTGCTGTTTGCTTCTGACAGCATATGGAATTGGGAGGCGGAGAAAAACTTCAAGAATCTCCGTAACCAGATTACCTATGAACACGGCAATGATTCGAAGGACGATATTGAGTCGGTATCGCAGAGGAAAGGGAGCGTTGTTCGGGGCATGAGTCTGCATGTTGAAGACAGTAAGTTGTGAATTGTTTCGAGCGTTGCTTTTCTCATGCATGATGCGCAGTACCTCTGTTGTCTTACTACGACCAATAGTAACGTGTCCCTATTATCTCAGCTACCAATGAGTGATTAGGCTGGCCACCTTCTCGACATTGCATCACCGGCGTTGTGCGGGAAACATTATGAAGGTCGCGTGTGTGTATTGAGGTGCCATCCCGGCTCCAAGGTCCATCCATCATGGTCAAGTGACCCGGAAAATCTCATATGTAAAAACGCACTGACGTGCAGCACTGAAACAGTGCAACATAACTCTCTTAATCCGGTAGCTGTATCTGGAAGGTTTCTGCCACTCTCTGGGAGAGTTTGTAGTTCAAGGATCAGAAAAGAGTTAATATTAGATTAAACTATAGAGAAAAGGCAAGTTAGGCCCCAAACGTAAGTGTTGCCTAGAGGTAGGCGTTATAGCGACGCGTTAGGCTTAACAGTCGACGAGATAGCCAAGCCCAATTCGCGAGCACGCTAAATGCTTCAGCACTTTTCTCTATAGCGTACTGCACCTTTTCTAGCGCCTAGGAGCCAATTCATGCTGTTAGGTATCGTTAGCGATATTATTTGCGGCTTATGACGTTCGTCTTGAAGATAGCTGTTAGCGCACGCCCCACCCGAGCACCGTGACGAGTGCGTATTGCGATACGCATAGTCAAATCATGCTAGACCCGTATTGTTCGAATCGCACTGCCAGGAAGTGGAACCTACAAACACGGTATTGCATACTAGACGTCGGAGAGCTTTGATCGCAACGCGACAGACGAGATAATGGTCGCCCTTGAGTGCAAAGGATAAGCATGAAACGCACCTGGGCCCATCCTCGTTATTGTACCTAGACACGTCGGGCTGATACAGTGTGCCAGCGCAGCATGCATCCAGCAGGTCAGAAGCTCTAGGAGAGTGGCGTAGCTGTTCTAGATTAGTCAAACTCAATGAATACCCGTGAGCTATCAGCAGTCTTGTGCTCACAAGGCCCTGGAGAGGTAGAGACATAAGATGGGCCCTCGCTCACAAATGCTGTTTCTGACAACCATACACGCGATACCAACGAAATTATCCACGCACGACATATTGCTTGCCAGCGAGGACATTCCAGCTGCGGCTTCCCTGAAGCCATGGGAAGCATAATGACCTTATTTAAAGCATTGCCAGTATTACCTCATATTCACGCAACACGGCATAGCTCTGGAGGAATCCTTTCGTCTTATGTCTTGCGCACGTTGACGATTAGGATGCACACTACCTAGGTAACACCTCCCCTAATCTCCGCGTTGCAAAACAAAGAAGACATTGATCAACCAGCTTGCATGGGTAGAGTGCTTAATACGACGACGCCCCTCTCTCTAGCCTCGTTTCTCGTAAAGCCAAACAAGGCCCATGCGTCGCAGCAGATATCGCCCAGTACACAGCAGCGCCAGCATTCAGCAGATGTATAGACCTTGTCTCATTCTGCGCACGCATACTCACAAACGTGCTGCTTGGCACCTGGTAGTTGTCATCGTCTTTCGAGTTTTATTTACTGGACAGCTTACGTGGCGTCTCGGCTCCACATTACGGAGATTTCCTGTGGCGACGCCGTCCCGATACCGTAACGCCATGGCGCTTTATGCTACGTTGTACATTTGTCTCCACCTGCAGGGATATTATCTAAATATAACACTTTCTCTGCCTTGAACCTTGAATTATCTCAAGTCATTGTTAACAGTGAATACGAGCACTCGCAATATAAATAAGGCTTGCGAGACTGCTGTTGGAGAAGCATAACTCGCTGTTAAACATTCTTATCTCTCAACTACAAACACATCAATCTTTTGCAACCTAATCAACATGCGCTTCACAACTGCCACCATCGCCACTATGGCCGCTGCTGCCACTGCCACAGTTATTCCTCGTTCCGACTTGGGTGCCTGGAACGTCACCATGACCACATATGGTGGTGCCGACAGGGCTCACGGCGAGACCGTTACTGGTGTCTATGCCAACGCCCAGCTGGCTGATAACATCCCGGTCACCTGCCGCTTCGACACCATGATCAACGGAGAGGTTGTTAATAAGAAGACCTGCAACCCTGAGTCCTTCAGCTACGAATTCGTGGGCGGCAATGGTACGTACAGTTCTTCGGGCAGGCAGGCGGGACGGCCAGGGTTATTGCTAACGATATACAGAGCTCACTTTGAGCCAGACTCTTACTCTCGATGAGACAGAGGTTACCGTGAAGGGTGTTTCAGACAAGTTCGAAATGGTCAGCGACGGCATCACTGGCAAGAGCTTTGCTGCCTCTAACATTCTTGTTACTGCTACTACTGGTGTAGCTTAAGTAGAACTAGACCCACTATCGGCGTAGATATTGCTCTATATTTCAATAGAGTGTAGTTTTTAATAATTTAGCTGAATAGCATTCAAGCTAAAATTATATATATACCTATTCCTAGAATACTAAGACTCTACTTGTTAGGCCTAGTCAACTAAGAGAGAAGGTATTACAAGTAGTAAGGTATATTACATAAAGAAAGGTAAATTAATTACTACTCTATATTACTGAAGTCTTAGTTACTTCTTATACTCTTCTAAGTAGGTCTAGTCTATACTTGGCTCATTTTGCTCTCGTCGAAGCCGGGCCCAACGCCGTGACAACCAAAGAGTGAACGAGGTTTTTGACGCCTTAGCCTCGGTAGAGCTCCTGGGCGAAGGTCTGGTCGTCGATTATTCGACCACCCCACAAGTTCATTTGGACAATCGATAGCTCATCAACCCAGCTGGTCATCAGTTATCTGGCTCGAGTGGCGTGGACGTGGGAACTTGGATGCGCGCTTCGACGGCAGCTCACGATCTACTTCGACGCTGGTGCGGACAAAAATCTCACGGCTTTAATCGGCCTATCCATACTATTGGCGGACGACAGTACCCCATGCGCGGAATCATGCAGGAGAGTGCCGAAAAATTGGTCACCACTACAACCCTACAGCTTTCAAAGGCGATCCAATCAGACTTGTAGACTATGTCCAGTGCTTTCGAGCGACTTCCGAGAGTGCAGCGACCAGACAACACAGCGCTAAAGTGTACGATCTGAGTAACGTGTAACTGTAATGTGAATCTCCACTGACGCTGGTAATATTTGATGAGGGAAAGCGTGCAATTGGTGTGGGATTTATCTCTGGTCGTACGTGAACTCATACGAAATGCGCTTTCAATATGGAGACGTTTCGCATAAGGACGCTGACCTGGCATCATCAATTTCAAGTTGCTGGTGCGTTGACGCGGGCGCAAGGTGGTATACAACGACCAATGACGTCACTCATCCGGGTAGTCACCAGTTCCGGCTTCACTCCCAGCATTTCCTGCCCACAAGCCATGCGAGCAGCTATTCGCCTTCGTATTCATGTAATGCAATACATGACGTTACGTCTACCTCACACTCGTTGAACAGCGCCAAACGATGTATCGCGGACATTGGCAATAACTTAGTGTTAGGCACCCAGGCAGCTGCCTGCCATGCCTCGTTTAATGCAGGTCCCGCATATGTACCAACTCTCGCCTGCCTTGCGCTAAGGCCGACCATAAAAGTCCGTCGATAGCATCTCAGCCTCTTAGTACTAAATCAGACACCTTTTGAGAGTCATGGCCTCTCTCGTCAGCCTTTCCGCCGAGCTGAAGCTCAGTATCATCGAACAGCTCGAGCTACAGTCGGGTTCATTCATCCCTGCTCCCTCTCTCGATCTTCTGAGCCTGAGCCGGGTTTGCAAGGTGTTTCGAGCCATAACACTACCATACCTTCTCAAAGAGGTTGTCTTATTGAACGATGAGAAAAGTGGCTCTTCGGTGTCCATCATCCTCGACAGCCCATATGCAGAGCATGTGCGGAGTCTACATTTCATTGGCGTCATACCATTCACACCAGACCCCTCGTTAAATTTGGACCAGCCTCCAAGGAGTCCACAGACAGAAGACCTGCCCGAGTCCGTGCAACACGCACTCTCCAATCTTGCGAAGTTTCCAAATCTGGAGTGTGTGATCGTCGAATTTCGCTGCAGCAGAGCCAAGGAAAAGGAGGAAGAAATATACAGCCAAACTTACGACATCTTTGAGGAGCTGGAGGAACCCCAGATGACCCTTGGAATAGAGGAGGCCGATGCGTTCCGGTCATTGACCAAGCGTACATACGATGCGATCGCCCAAAACCCTCCGTACACTATCAAGAGCCTCGAACTACGCAATGTTGTAGCAAAGAGATGCTCTGCTTGGGAGACTTCTGCGTTTCGTGCGCTGCTGGAAGGTCTCTCTGCATTCAAGATTTCATTGCGAGGGGGCGACAACGGAGCAGGTTGGCGAATTAACAAGGTCGCTGCGTACCTCTCTTTTGTCGGGAGCTTAGATACAATTTTCCTCGGATTCGCGAACAATCTCAAGCATCTCAGCATCTCTGCGACTACCGACGGCCCGCCTGGTCTAGCAGAGGGAATGAACAACGTCGAGCTTCCATTGAAGGAAGACATACTCAAGAACCTAGAGATTCTAGAACTAGAGCATGTCTTCATCAGCAAAGATCTCGCTGCTTTCATTGTAGCGCATGGCAGCTCGCTCAACACCATCCGACTGAAACACTGCTACTCCGGCGAAGACGAAAACAACTGTGCAGAAGAAGCCTCGGTTTCTTGGGGCGAATTCTTCACAATCATTGCCTCAGCGGAACCAAATAGCCTGCGAGTATTTGATATTGCTCCGACGGATCTTGAAACAGCTGAACTGCCTGAAGAAGGCGCCTATGATCTTCATTGTGCTTTGCCTGCGAGGGAGCTGCTTGAAAAAATCCCTGGAAGGCGAATGTTTGATTATAAAACTGTCGATGACAAATACGGCATGCTTTTTACCTCTGATGAGGCATTCGGTCTTTTTGAGGATGGTACAGATCATGCAGGGTGGGAGCGGCTGTGTGCAATGCTCGCGCAGAACACTGGGACTGAGGTCTGATCGTGTTGAGGTATACGAAGCGTTGATTCTAGACGCACCGAATGTTCAATCGTTGAAACAGTGCTTTGTATTATGGCTCGCTGGCTCCATCAATTCTGAAGCTGTCTCAACGTATGATACCTTTGTAAGCGCAGCACTATCTTTCTACTCCATGTCGAAGTCGAAGTCCTCGAGCCAAATAACTTCTAGTAGAATTCTCACAAGTGGTCTACAACAGATTTATGAAGGACTTGAGTTCGGTGCACCACTAGCCAGCTTGAAACCGCCAGGCTGGAGAAGCTGGAAGACTTGTGCTGGATCGTACTTCTTGGAGATACTGATCAAGCGCTGTTGATTTGCGGAGCCATAGCTTGCAATCGGGTCCTGATACTGAGAGCCATAATTCATATACAGGAAGTCATTGTCAACGCCTCGTCTTTTCGCTTCGGCCTTGACGATGCTGATGACGTCGGAGATCACTTTCTGGAATTTGGACTCATCGTCCTTATTCTTCCACGCCGCGTTGAAGTTCAAAACGAAGTAAGGACCATTTTCTGGCTCGAGACCTAAAGCATTGCCGCCATTTTTCTGCATTGCGTTGAGTGCGCCCTCGGTGATGGGCTGAACTGCCATGACGAGCAAGATCTTCTCGACATCGGCAATTGTCGCTTCCTGCGTGAAGAATGTAGCGATAGTAAAATCGAGCAGATCTCTGTCCATCTTCAGGCTAGCGACCCCCCACATTTGATATTCACCATTCGCTGGTGCTCCTTCATTGAGAAGATTAGCCATCCCAGACATCGGTCGCAGTCCGCTGGTGTCACTGATAGCATTTATGTTGTTCCATTGATCGAATACTGAGGCGTTCCCAGTTGGTTTGGCATAGTGTAAGAGTGCAAACGCAATCTTACCAATACCGGGGGCATTGGCAAACGTCTGTAGAAATTTAGCAACGGAAAGAGAACCCAGGGCTGGCGCTGACATACGACAATCTCCGCAGCATCTTCATCTCTTCGAGATCCTTCCATCGTAAAGTCGTATATTGCGTCCACAACGGCAGGAAAGGTGCTTTCAGGATGAATACGTTGCGCACCCCACATCAGGCCGAGAGGGAAGGCGTCCAACTTGAAGTTAGTAACGACTCCAAAGTTGTTTCCTCCTCCTCTCAGTGCCCAATATAAGTCAGGGTAAGATTCTAGTGTGACATCGAGAACGGCTCCTGATGCAGTAACAAGCTCAAAGCTTGCCACGTTGTCGCAAGCCCATCCGCGCTTGGTGGCGAAGTGTGAGATGCCACCACCCAAGACAAGACCCGGCACACCGACTGGTGCCATCTGACTGTTTGTCAGTGTCGAGATCTCTTCTGCGAGATCACGGACTTACGCGTCCACCTGCGACGCTAAGGCCGTCTTTTTCCACGGCGGTGTATACGTCTACCCATCGCAGACCGGGACCAATATCTACGGTCTGTTTATCGGCAGCGACGTTGGCTTGCTTGAAATTCTCCATGGACACAGTGATCCCGTCAGCAATGCTCGAAGCGCCAGCCCATGCTGAGTGGCCGCCTCCTTTCACTGCAAACGGGCATTGGTACAGTCGCGAGATAAGGATGAAGACGGATACGTCTGAGGTTTTGGTTGGCTTGAAGACACAGAAAGGATCGAGTGCGCCTTGCTGAGCAGACCAATACTCTCCAGTGAAGGATTCGTATGCTGATGACCCCTCGGACAAAGTGCTGTCACCGCCGAAGAGGATCTTCAAGGAAGCGCACTGCCCTGGTAGTTAGTTCCGGGAATTATAGACGAGACGTAGAAGGACTGCATACGGCAAATGAGCATGACAAAGATGACGAACGTCTCTTGGGAGCCGATGTTTCGTTTGCTGGCTTAGGCAGTGTTGCAACGGGAACACCTAGGTCTTCAAGAGCTGCTGTGACGTTGAAGTCCTGCGGCTCGAAGCTGTTTCCTCCCGCTTGGGCGGTCGCACGCACTGCAAGGATGGCCAACGAGAGAATGTCGGCAATTCTCATCTTGGATCTGAACTATGGCGATGTGTGTTCGTGTCCAGGATTCTACCGACGGCAGACACCACTTTTTGAACACTGCGCACAGTAGATCAAGCATGATCGGAGCTTTGGCTCGAATTAGATTACATTTGAATCATCCCCGCTCGCTTACTGTTTGGAGAGAGAACACGGCAACGATATGCATCAGAGTTACTACTCTGGGCCTAGGTAGGCATCGGCTCGGTTCGTTTCCGAAGCTACCACCAATCAATGTGAGCAAGAGGTTAACGTGGCGACACAGCGTGTAGTTCAAATCACATCTCTCAGACATTAGAGAGAAGATCTCTGAATAGTTCGCGCCCTGCAGAAGCTTTTTCGCAGGCAGACAAGCACGCACCTGGCCCTGGTCCTGCAGGAAGGCTGATCGGGAACTCTTTTGTCTCAGGATTATGTCGCATGGCGCTACTGTGTCTTTCAGGGGACGCAAGTCGAGGTTGTCGACTCTCTGATTTGCTCGTTTGAATCGCTATCGACTTGCAACTGAGGTACTGGCTGCCCTGCGTTTTCCAGTCGGAGGTAAGCCAGTTGTGCCACAGATCTCGCCTGGAGCATCGTACGATTCCAGCGACCGTTGCAGATCAGCCCACTCGATCAAAACTATGCCATATCCGCGTCGCATGCGCCCTACTCTTTTGTCGACAGAAGGTCCTCGTTTCTAACAATTGTAAATCAGCTGTGCATGTGACGATGACAGCAAGAACTTGATGTAATGAGAGGATCCGCAGGGCAGCAATCGAAGGGGCAGTACAATCTGGTGGCACGGTCCCCCCTGGTAAGATGTAAGCCGCTCCTCGAGCACTTCGAGTCCTGTCCAAAGTGCAGTTCTATCTACAAACGTACTGTCTCTCTCGTGCGGCATTGCAAACAACACTCGCGTTTCCAGCTCTTTCCTTCTCCCTCGTTCTGTCCCTCGCCAGCACGATGAGCTCCAAAAATGCCAGTGGGGATGCGACAAAGCAGCCAGCAATCGTTCCGTCTTGTTTATTGCAAGAGTTGCTGTTCGACATCATGTGCTGTGCCCCCCAGCCTTGGCGAGTAGCATATGTCGTCAATTCGGCATCCTGGTTGTGGCATATGACTCCCGTGGCTACGTAAAGCGGTCGGCGAACGGTATGAAGATGGGGAGTCTGGAGAGTGCATGTCGCAGGACCAGCAGGTCGGGGCACAAGAGGTCAATGCTGTGGACCGACAGACAAGACAGTCAGTAAGGACTCGCAGCCGCTAACTTAATCACAGTCAATGCAACTAGAGATCCGGATTGTGCACCGAGTACGAGACCTAGCACTGCATCGAGCACCGAATTGCCAAGGTAGTTATGGAGAACATGCAGTTGGCTATGTAGTCAATTCAATCATTTACTGATAGCGCATTACCAGAATGGGAACAGGTCTGCTCCATCGTTCGGCGAAATTGCCGATGACGTCATGGTTTGCATTTAAGTACCTCGGCTGTCAACCGAGCCACTCTACGATTTTGCGCCAGGAAAAATAGCTGCGCTTCATCGCAGCATCTTTCCTCCGATGCGGGGAAAACATTCGCTAGGTGCGGGCCGTTGACGCCATTCTGGTTAGTCGGTTCGTTCCCCAGACATGACTCTCATACCGGCCATCACCTTCCTTATCTGCCTGACCCAAGAAGGGCTTGGTATCGTTTGCGGGTTTTTCCCAGGCCAGGTACGATCAAGATCCTGGAATTCGAAGTCAGTTTCCAGAGAAGTGACTTTCCCCGGTGCCCGGCATGGCACGCTGGCAGGGATAGAATAATGGGTCTGAATCGACAGTCTGTATAAAATGCGGTCGTCAGCCTTCGCGCAATGTTCCAAGCAACATCGACCGGTCAACAATGTCGCTTTCGCTCCTTCTCACAGCTGCCTTGGTGGCACCGTCCTTGGCAAAGACCGTTCGATCTCCGACACCGCCGATGGGATGGAACTCGTACAACAGCTACTCGTGTTCTCCCTCTGAAGAGAAGATCAAGCATAGCACCGACGGGTTGATCGCATTAGGCCTTGACAAGCTTGGCTACAACTTCATCACTGTGGATTGTGGATGGCCGTCAAGAGATCGAAGCCCGGAAGGCAAGCTGCAATGGAATGAAACATTGTTCCCCTCAGGCGGCAAGGCTCTGGGTGACTACATCCACGGCCTCGGCTTGGACTTTGGACTGTACTCGGGTGCTGGTTACCTACAATGCGGCAGCACGGATCTACCTGCGAGTCTGGGGTACGAGCAGCTCGATGCTGAGAGCTTTGCCGAATGGGGCGGTGACAGTCTGAAGTGAGACCGAGAATGCGAAGATCAATTCTGTGCTTGCATGCTGACGCTACACTAGATACGACAACTGCTACTCTACTTCAAACACCACGATGGTCGACTCTTCGTCGGCTGAGTCGCAGTCGCCAGCACGCTTCCAGCACATGGCAGCAGAACTAGAGGCAGTGGATCGTGACATCCAGTACTTCGTCTGCCAATGGGGCATTGGCGTAGATACCGGCGCATGGGCCTCAAAGATTGGCAATACCTGGCGCATTAGTAACGACATCTACAACGCCTGGCGCAGTATCTGGCGCATCACCAACCAGATCGTGCCTTACTACCGCCACACAACGGTCGGTGCATTCGCAGACATGGACATGTTGATCGTCGGGCTCAATACTCTATCCGAAGAAGAGGAGCGCTTCCACTTCGGCATGTGGGCCATCAACAAGTCACCTCTCATTATCGGAGCGGCAGTTGATGCAGAGAAGCTTAACAAGCACTCTCTGGATATCATGTCCAACAAGGAAGTCATCGCAATCAACCAGGATGTTCTCGCCAAGCAAGCGCAGCTGGTTCGTCGCTACACCGAGGAAGAGTACGACATCTGGCTAGGTGAGCTTTCCGGCTCCCGCCAAATTCTCGGAGTCGCAAACTGGAAGAACGAGTCTCAGACTGTCGAAGTGGACCTCGCATCTCTCGGCGTCGGCTCTGCGCAAGTTCGCAATGTATGGGCAGCGAAGGACCTGGGGCTCATCGAGGGTGCTCAGAAACTTGATCTCGCTGGCCACGAACTCCGTCTCTGGGTGATCTCAAATGCAACCGCAGCAGCGCCGCTGAAGTCTTCTGGATACCACAGTGCTTCTGATGCCACTCTCGCCGGCTCGGCCAAGGTCGTCCCTTGCTCCTCTGGGGCCTGTCTTCCAACAGGATCGAAGGTTGGCGACATTGCGCTCGGCTCCAGCGCCACTTTCACTAAGGTTGCAGCTTCGTCCTCTGGAAAGAAGACTATCGCTGTTGACTTCGTGAACTACGACTACGCTTTCACAACGGCTTGGGACTACGGCGACAATGCCAGGAATGCGACAATTGCGGTCAATAGTGGCGCTGCGAAGCGATGGGCGTTCCCGCTCTCTGGTGGCAACTGGGAAGAGAGTGGGCGCTTGACTGTGGAGGCTGATGGGTTTGTTGAGGGTGGTAATAATACTGTTGTGTTTGGTGGTTTTGGCAGTGCGACAAGCTGGGCACCAGACGTCGTCGGCCTCGAGATTCTGGAGTAAATACATAGTGAGTCTCCGTACTCGCAACTCTATCAAATGTTGCCCCGTTACTATTACACTTACACAATTCCTCGTTGTTTGGATATGCCATTATCTTCTGAACAGCATTGTGTGACGCACGTCATGCTCCCACATTGCGCGATTTCACCAACTACGTTCACACTGTTCACATTTCGAGCACCCCACAATTCAGCTCAGAGATACGTAGGGTAGAGTCTATCATGTCTCCATGGCTCTGCTGATTGGACGCGCCATCAATTCGAAAGCAGATGCTCTCAAAGGCAACGCTGGTCTTCACTTCACCTTCAGTACCACGCCACTTTGACAGGGTTCCATCAAGGCTGGATCACCGGTTTATACAATACAATAGGAAAGCTGATAAGAAGCGCGCTTTTGACTGGCTCTTCGCGGTCGCACGGTCCCCGGCAGTCCCTGTTTGGACGATACTTTCACCTCTGTCCACGCTCGAGACTGACCAGTCTTCATCGTGAAGTTCTTCACTATTGTCCAGACTGATAACGAGTGAGCACAATAGCTCAATAGCTCTAAATCGGATTAGCAGCGCCGGCGCACACTGCCAGCCATCCTTTTTAATCTTGCTTACACCTCGCTGTGCCCACGTCTCAGCTTGCCACCAACACCTCTCCACCCACTTTTGTCACACACACATTTTTGTCTCTCAAAGTTCTTTTTGAGTACGCTCAGTCTTGTCTCTTGCCCACTTTGTTGCACCGCTTCTTGTATAGCATCGCAACGTCACCACAATGTCTTTCAACCGTCACCGCACCATCGCTCCGAAGAGCAGCATGAACGCGCACGCGAACATGCTTAGCACCCCGCGCGCCGACAGCTCTCCCGTCTCTCCGGCTCAAGCCATGAGCGAGAGTCAGTCGCCTCCATCGCACCGAGCTGAATCGCCCGCTACGAGTGCTCCCTCGGCGTCTTGCAAGAGTGCTGCTGTCATCAGCCAGCTCGCTCAGCCATCTTCCCCGCATGGTGAGCCAGATCCCTCGCACAGGATGATAAATCACTAACGGGTCGCAGTAGACTCAAAGTCAGACAAAGTCGCTGAGACTGCCTCACCTTCGCCATCCCGTTCACCGCGTCTCAGGCTGTATTTGAAGCCTCGCGGCCCTCGCCAGACATCCTCATCACCTCATGTCCGCACATCCTCGCATTTAGAGACTCAGGCATCTCAGACCAGTCTCACCTCATCATCGTCCAGCTCGTCCCGCTCACGTCTCGAGTTCACTCTGAAGTCACACCAAGCAGACCACGCAGCCGTGGCAGCAGATATCCCCACGTCCTCGCAGACCGAAGCTCAGGCATCTCAGAACAGTATCAACTCATCTGCTTCCAGCTCCAACAGCTCTGGCCTCAAGATCCGCCTCCGCTGCATCCAGTCTGCGCTGCGAGGCTCACCCACCCCACCTCCCAGCCCTTCACCACAGCCAAGTGCTTCTTCGCGCAAGCGTACATCTGTCGAAGCATCTCTCGACGACCACCAAGATATCGATGACACTGACTCTGAGATCGAAATCCTACCTCCCTCAAGGAGATCTCTCAAGACCACCACCAAGAAGCTCATGCCCACCTCACACCGGGCCAAGAAGCTTAGACCTACCCACGAAGACACTGACAGCGACGCCGACGACGAGGACGACGTCATGTTCGACGCTGCCGCCATCAGCTCCTCCACCACTGCTGGCGCTTCCACCACTGCTGGCCCTTCCACCTCGGCTGCCGTTGCCTCCTCATCCACCCTCGCACCCCCGTTCGTCCTCTCGACCAACGTGATGAAGCGCTCCGAGCGCATTCTCGACCCCAAGAACCCCGATCACGCGCGCCTCATCGCCGCCGCCACCAAAGCCGGCCCCGAGTACTACGACAGCGACGCCGACGACCTGCCAGGCAAGGTCAAGGAGACGTCGAAGCCAGAGCTCTTCCGCAACGTGAAGTGGGGCGCGCTGGCCACGGACTACTCCGACCCGGCCGCGTTCCCCACGGAGCCAGAGTTGTACGTCCCACGCCCCCCTCCCCGCCTCTCTCACCTGCACCTTCACTCCCCACTCCCTCCACGCCTCCTCTCCCCCACCTCCCCCAAGCAGCCTGCTAACACACGCGCAGCACGCAGTTCGTCCCGGGCCGCTACGAGCTGCTCCCCACCGGCGTTGCCGCCGACCAGAAAGCCAAGCTCCTGCTGCGGCTGACCGACGCCACGGGCCGCGCCCGGATCTTCACGAACCCGCCGCCGCGCTCGTGGACGTGCCAGGCGGCGCTCACGGCGCTGAACAAGCGCACCGTGCAGCAGATCCGCCGCAACACAGCGGTGCGGTTCCGTGACGTCGTGCAGCCGTATGTGCGCGAGGAGCGCGAGTGGATCCTGGCGCATCTGGAGGGCGGCAGGCCGGTGGGCGGGTGGAAGGTGTTTGTGGCGGGCTTCAATGCCGCCTTCGAGGGGAAGGTGTTGGCGGGTGGTGGGGGGGTGAGGCAGGGGAGGAGCCACTCGAGCTTGACGAAGGAGGTGGAGCGGTTCGGGGGGGTGTATGCGGGAGGGGAGGTGCCGGGAGGGAAGGGGAAGGGGAAGGAGAAGAGGGTGTAGGGGGGAGGTAGTTGGGGGGGTGGGGAGGAGATTGGGGGGCGTTATGGGGGGGTGTAGGCAGCTGGACTGCCGTACAGATCTTGCTGCGCAACAGTGCGCACCGTCGTAGGATACACAAATGGATTTCACTGGAAAAGAATCACTGCTATGCACACTACACCTAGTCCACCACACATGTGCTCAATCATGAGACAAGCTGGCATATGATGACTGACTACACAAAGAAGTACGAAGTGATCAAGATATTGTATTAGAGTGAGCGCCAAATGGCCAGCAGTATGCCGTTGCATGGTACTGTTATAGACAAACGTGTGTGCACAGTCAAAGACGCCTTCACAAGAACATTGTACTTTGAAAAGCGCAGTAGAGGCGGGACTATGCCCTGCTCATCGTACACTTCCGTAGGCTTGCCGTTTCCGCGGGTGCATTTCATGTCCCGAAGATCTGCCGGGAAAGTTTCCGTACCCTTGCCGCAATTCTACAATGTCGAGTTTGCCTCAACTGATAACATTTCGAAGCGTGATGACGGAGAAAGCTTAGATAAGAACGGCCGAGCCAATCGGCCACAGTTTCGAGACGACATGAGACACGGTCGCAAAAGCCAACCGTGTCTTGGCATACGGACGGTGGAAATGGGCATCCCAAGCGAGAACGTGATCTGCCGCATCGTAACCGTTGATGTGAAGAGCGAGTTGTGACTGTAGCCAGTGAAAAAGGCTTATAGGTCCAGTTGTCGTTCTAGAGTTCGACAAAACACCACTCACAGCGCCTCCCAGTCCAAGAAGGCAAAGTTGTCCAACGCGGGCCCGTTGAGGCCGTAAAGTATATCGTCCGCAACATTCGGATCTGCTGCAGCCTGTTGGGCTTGCTTTTGAAGACCTTCATGGTGGGCATCTTGCATGGGAACATCGACCGGTCCGTCAGCGTCTGCCCCCGAGACCTCACCATTGGTCTGTGCTGGGACGGCTGTAGCCACCTCAGTCGAATCGCGTGTGTCCGCAGCTGGCTGCGATTTCTGGGCGCTGACGTGCACTCGGGTGAACTTCTCAAGAATGCCATCGACATCGGGTGTTTGAAGGCTCTCTTGTTGTTCGATGTCGGCGCTCTTGTAAGATGCGGTCTTGTCCAGATTGGGGACCTCCAATCCCATCCTTTTGAGGAGGTCCTGGATGACTGCGTTCGCACGCCGTACTGCCCGGTTTGCTTGCTGGTTGTCATGAAGCACGCACAAGCATGCCACAAGATTGTTATGGGCGTGAGAGTCGGCGCTCGAGTTGGCAGCGATACGCGCATGTATCGTCGCTGCCACATAAGCAGCATAGGATATCAAGTAGGGAGCTCCTCGCACGCCAAAGGCTTTGTCGTACGCACGCATAAGGTCCACTATATCGTTCGCAGCCGTTGCACATGTCTTGAGGGAGCCGACCGATATAGTGCGAGGGATGTTGAGAAGATGGGCGTCAGTCACAAATGGCCGGTGGAGGAGGACCAACAGAACATTGTACAGCGCACTATCTGAAGTCAGTAGAAGGCAGGAAGCGAGGTTTGGAAAACTTACTGCAGCTTCATGACATGAGGCGGAGGGGTAAAGGATGTCTTTGTGGGGGTGAAGGTAAGGTGATCTGGCAGGTTGTCTCGCCAGGATACCAGGGTCTGATGGATGCTGTGCAGCTTGGTAGTGAGGTCGGCATTGGGCCTACTCTCGGTGTAGATGTTGCCGATGATATCGCTGAGGATGATCGAGAGCAGACAGAGCTGTTTGAAGGTGGACACGCTGAAGGATGGAGAGCCTGGATAGCTGTCGATGTTGTAGGCGAAGGGCGACCAATGCTCGAGCTCCTCGTACGTATCAAGGAACTTGAGGGGTACAAGGGCGTCGGACTCTCTGATGCTTACAGGCCGACCTTGATAAAGACTCTGGATTTTGTCGATGACTAGACGGTTAGTTAGTCCCTGGGCTCTGATGCAGGTTACGGGAGCTGCTTACCAAAAGCAGACCAAAAGACGCGTCGTCGAACCTCGCAGTCTTGGTCAGAATGGCTGCTGGTGCTCGCAATATCGGACGTATCCACGTGCAGGCCCAGATCAACAATCATGCGGAATGCGATGCCTGCATATGTCCAGGCTGCACTGCGTTCATCACCGAGGGCAAACAGCGAGTTGGTCATGACCAGCAGGGCCTGGATGGTGGTGATCTCACTCTTATCCAAGGCATCTCCTAGGAGCTGACGGAAACGGTTGCGGAACTGCCATCCAGCAGTTCGAACGTCGGTGGCAACGCTACGGACCTCTTCGTGACGAGGCGAGAATTTGGATGCGCCAAAGTAGATCGCGTTCAGAAGAAGCTTTGAGAAATACGGACCTGCGCAGGCCATATCTCTCATAAAAGCTGGTCGGTAGGTGACGAGGAACGAGTGATGCTGGCGGTTCCAGTGTAGGTTCAGCAGATGCATGCCAAGGTCAGGATCGAGGCCATCGAAGTCTAGGGTACCTCGCTGGAGGTTAAAGCCTTCGAGCTGGCGCTGACGAGTGGCTTCAGCAACAAGGCCATTTTCGATCCACTGCTCTGGCATCTTGGAGCGTGCCTCAACAGCAGAACGGTCATGGTGGGCGTGCTCGTCGAACAAGGTGCTCATGCGGGCACGGTAGCTCGAGAAGCCATTCTCGGTGCCGAGGCGAGGAGCACTGAGCGAGTGATCAGCAATGCCATGATGGCGCAGGTGCTCCGAGCCAACAGGGGTGAATGCAGAAGCCGAGTTGGGGGTGAATGAGGAAACCACGTGACCAGAAGACTTGGGCGGGCGGACACGGGCCGGCCTGGGGACGTGTTGGGCATCCTCATAGCTGCAGACTCTAGTGTACGTCTTGCAGGCTGCGCACGAGGGCCTTTCGGCGCTGCACTTGATCTGCGAGACTCAGCGACAGCAAATGTTGTGGTGGACGCGACAAACCTTGCGGCGGCGGCAGAAGGCGCAGGCCGCGGAAACGCGTTTGCGCACTCTGTTGTCCGCGGCGGAGACGGAAGGCGTGGGGCTGCTGGTCATGATGAAAGGCAGTCGCAGTCGAGCAACTGCAAAACGCGACGGATCGCAGACACGAGCACGGATACGGGTTTGTTGATCGGACGACGGATGCGCGCTGGGAATTGTCGAGGAGAAGGGCTGCCAGCGTGCGGACACGGGACGAGGCTATGGCAGCACGGAACAGCCGTACGTGGGCCGATGGGCGTCTGTTGACGGCCGGCCCAGTCTGCCTCAGCGCCGCAACGCCCCCGCAACGCGCCATCAACGCCGGCCACCAGCCTCAGCGACTGCAGCACCAATCTGCACGTTCAGCGCCGTGGAGGCTTGCAGTGCCTGACCCCCTCTCCTCACACCGCAGCCATGCGCGCAACTGCAGCCCTCACTGACCTGGCGACGCCGGCCCTGGCCCGCCCCGTGCCACCTGCAGGCAAGCCGTGTCGCTAGCACCGAAGAAGCGCCGCTACAATCACGTGCGAGTTTTCATCCGCCAAGAGCGGCACGCGGCTGCATGGCGGAGCTGTGTACGAATGCGAATCAGAGCGCGGCTGCCTCCCTCGTTTGATGTCATGGCCGCAGTCGCGCTGAGTCCAGGCAGCCCGTGTCAAAGCCGGCGTGCGCCTCCTGTCCCTCCAGCCCGACAAGCACGGCGTCCGGTCGCCGTCGTGGGGCCGGCATGCTGACCGGCGCGGTCTCGAGCGCCGAGCGCAGCCGCCGTCACACCAACCGTGCGCATCTAGACGGCCCTCATCGCCGACGCAGCGAGCCCCGAGCGGCTCTCCTATCGCGGCCTCGACACGGCCCGGGCCAGCTTCACCGCTTTGCATCGCGCGCTGGTGTCGACAAGCATGAAGCCCTTGGCGCCGTTCCTGCAGTCAGCAGTCCTTTGTCTTGTGCGCAGCGATGGTTGCGTGCAGTTGTTGTATGTACCCAGGTTCCCACGTCGCAGGACAAACGGCGGATCAAGGATGTGAGCTGAGTACTTCACCACGCAACGCCAAGGAAGGACATGTCCAAAAAATCCATAGACTGTTTTTGCCTACAACCCAGGTAGTATTTAGCTGAACCTTCGCTTTAAGCATCATTATGATTGTAAGTTTCATGTTCAAGCTGTTCAGCTTGGAGGTCGCTCATTCGCCGTCTTGCTTGAAAAGCGACAGCTAGGTAGTAGCAGAACTACATTGTAGACGCCAAGCCTCTCTTCTCTGTGACACCAGATTTCATCATCACATTCGTCGTCCATCGCAGTCTGCAGGACAGGCGAACGTCGAGCTGAGGCTGCATTGACCTGCAACACCTTCTAAATGGATGTGGCTGCTTCTTCCTCCTACCTGCCTTATCTGGCCTCTTCCCCTCCTGCCTTGTCGCTATCCAGTTCCTGAATTTGCTCAGATTCCTCCGCCTTTCTCGTCACCCCACCACTACTTTCACCAGTACTCACAACAGGCGAGGGAGAGTGTAATACGTTCGTTGAAGGTTCCGTGACGTAAGCGAAGTCTGGTGAGCCTGTATCCACATCTATGACTATCATTTCATCGTCGTGATACCATTCACTCCCAGTGCTTATAACAGACGGGGGAGGAGGTACGTTTGTCGGATCCGCGACGTAAGCGAAATCTGGTGAGTCTGTGTTTACGCCTGGTATTGTTTCAGGGTTGTCGAGATCGCGGTCTGGTTCTCGATTCGAGTCACTGAAGACCTCGCGAATGTATGGAACAAATGAGTTCATGTCTACCCTAGGATGGAGGGTATTGGACTGTTCACAAATACGGACAAGCCGGATAAGCCTGTACTTTGCTATTTCGGCAAGCTCGGCAAGCTCGCTGTTGTCGAGATTACTCTCGAAGTTTAGTCGGCTACGTAGCAGGCTGATCGAAGCTTCCTCGGTCAAGATCTCGACTTCTACTATTTGCGAGCTCTGTACTAGATCAAAGGCGACATTGAAACTCTGAGTGGTAAGCAAGACCTTTCCGCCGCGATCTCCAGACAGGAGTAGCAGGAGAAGGTCATCGTAGCTTCCTCCTTGAGAGACTATTGAGGGCGTTCCCATGAAAAGGATATTGTGGTTTAACCCATCAACGACTAGAATCCATGGGGTATGGGTATCTAGTACCCGGAGTAGCATTTCAGCGTCGATGAGTTCATTTTTGTCGTCGTAGCCCGGGAGATTAACTCCCTTCATCATGGCTCTGAAACTCTTGCGTTGTCGGTTTTGATCTCCGGCGCTTATCCAAAAGATGTGTGACTGTGGCCACCGTGCGGCTTCGCGGTAGCAGTACTCCCGAGCGAGTTCGGTTTTACTACACGTGATCAATGTCATACATCGCAGCATGCACAGGATAAACTTACCCTACGTCGGCCATCCCAACAAGTGCTACTCGCGACTGGAGTTCGAACAATCTCTCAATCGCCACCAATTTTTCGTCATCTACAAGGTCCGGATTCGGACGGGGAAACATGTCGCTCAACAGCCGAGGAAATGGCGGGTGAAGGGTCAAGTCATGGGCGTTTATGACTGGTGCCCCATCCTCTACTAGGTGTCGTGCGAACGTCTTCCGGTACTTTGTCTTGAGACGAGTAGTCCGGAACCCTTTCGCAAATTTTCCACTTGCCGTTCTCTTTCATAATGACTTTTTCCTCTATAAGATATTGCTCAAGAGCCGTATCGGTCTTCCAGCTCGTGGGGTCCAGTGCGCGAGTACTAACTCGGAGATGGTGCCAAAGGCCATCCACGTGCTCCTCCCAGCTTAAAGGCCCAACAAACTCTTCATCGCATAGTGGGCAGCTTGATGAATGTGGAGCTCGGCGACCTTGTATGGAACAGCGCATAACATGGTTCTGGATATCATTCTTGAGAGATTCAGGATCGCTAGGGCCAGTCAAGTGAGTACTACGAATATGCTCTGTGAAGTGATCGATCTCGTGAAATCGAGAAGGGGCCAAAGCATCACACATATCACAAAGCCAGTAGCTCTCGTAAAAATGTCCGGATTTCGCGTGTCTCGTCCAGCTTCTCTTCGAGGAGAAGGAGTCTGCGCAGTTGTATTGCGCGAGGGGGCAGGGATAACTTCGGAGTCCTGCTCGATGCCGATAGTCAAGGGCACTGAAGCTCGTGGAGTTCGAGCTGAAACTGCCTATACTGACTGATCTTGCGCGCTCTAGGCGCTTCCCAAAGTTTGTTGTTGATGATATCGTTGGCGCCCTGCCAGCAGCTCTTGCGCTCGCCACTGACCCTTCGCTCAGGTCATCTCGTGCTAGAGCACCCCTCGGGATTGCAAATAGGGCCAGATTTTGCATATGGGTTCCCACATGATTTCTGAATTGCATTGGTGTTACACTGATTGCAGTGCTGAGTAGCTCGGGGTTGAGCTTTCCAAGATCAGCTTGCCATTCGTCACAGAACGGACATTCGGAAGCAGCGATGGCGACCACTGTATGTGTACCACTTTCCACTACAGTGTCTATTTGATCATTCTCCTGGTCGTGAAGATGATACTGTCCGAGGTGTTGCCGAAGGACGTCTGGATCCTTGAAATTTCGTTGTTGGCAAAGGAGACAAGACCACGTCCTTCGATGATGACTCAGCTCATGATCGAACCAGCTCTGGCGATGCGGAAACAGCTTGAGATCGCAGTTCTTGAAGGTACATACGTATGGGCGAAGATCGGCCAGAACATGCTTACGCCATGTAGATTCTTTGCGAAAGCTCTGTATTGTCCAGCAGAGTGGACACTCAAACGTTTCATTTCCATTCAGAACATCTGCAAGGGTAGGAAGATGGAATTGCTCGTTCCTGTCCTCGTCTTCTAGCGATATTGCAAACGAGGTTTGCGATTGAGAGTCTTCAAGATCTTCATCAGGCACGGTAGAGCTGGGGAGAAGCAACGTGGAAGCATTCGTGGGCGTCAGTGTGCTTGGATGTCCCAAGGTCCTCGTCACACCAGCCTCGGACCGCATGGGAAAGTTGAGTTGTTTCGGGGCAAGACTAGAAGGCTGTATGGGAATACTGCTGATCCCACTCTCTTCAAGACCATGACCAAGCTTTTGTCTATGCTCGCGGGCGTATTGCAAGTACCGCCGCCGCTGTGTGATGGCTCTACCCAGACGCAACTTGAGCCATGCGTACGGGGCTTGGTCGAGCTTAGGAAACTTTTGCGAGACATGAGCAACATCAAAAGTCTCATCGAAAGGGTTGGGTCCGCTGAGGGCCCTAGAAAATCGATCGCGTGGAGTGTATTTGCGTATAAGTATAGACAGGCGAAAAAGACCAGTGATGGTATCCTTAGCGGTTCCAAATGACTCTTCGGCTTCGCTCGAGGAGACTGCAATGCTTTCGTGTGGATCATCCGTATAAAATTTTCGTACATCGGAGCCATCAAAGTCTTCATAGTCTTCTTGCTCATCCTCATCATCGCTATCAATAGGCCGATTTGGTCGTTCACCTAACGCGATGCTGCATACTGTCGAAGATGGTCAGTCGTGTATCAAAGAATCCGAAAAGAACATCACACCAGTATTGAGGCAATCATTCAAATCCTTGAGGTGCTCTTGAATTTGAATTGCAACGTTCGGCGACTCGCGTAGGCGATAGTCTAGTGATGCAGTTGAGGGTAATCGGTGAAATGCACCAATGTTGCCGGCCCACAGGCGGAATCTGGTCGACTGGTCTTCAGCCTCATGCTTCGTGAGAGCTGATCGGCCTTCGCATTCTGCATCGTTGAGAAGTGAACACAAACGCTCGAACGAATGGGCAGCTTCGATTGAGGAAGCCGCTAATGAGATTTGCATGACGTCATCGCTCTTGCTGGACATGAGTACAACACTTTATAGCCCTCATCACAGTGGCAGATGTTGTTAAAAATGTGGAGAAGATGAGGTGGATGAACAAACCTCTATTGATGACAACACATGATGACAACCCCTCACTTTCGGCCCCCACCATGCACCTCAGCCTCGCCAGTCTCACGACCTTCTCATGCTCTCGCGCTTCTCACAAGCACCATGCAGTCAAAGTTCACATAGAAGAAGTTGTGCGCATACACTTTGACAGATTATTCGTTCCCCCTTCATCGTCCGGATTTAGTGATTACCTACTAGCCTTCCTTCCGTCCGAGACAACTCTCTAACATGAGCGGCATTGAAATCGCCGGACTGGTGCTTGGCGCATTTCCACTACTTATCCACGCGCTTGAAAGTTACCATGAGAGCTTGGACATCCTCAGAGACTGGTACAAAGTGCAACGAGCTTATCGGCACTCCATCCGGACCCTAGGAATCCAGAAGATTCAATTTGAGCGCAATGTCGAGCGATTCCTGCTTCCCCTGGTAGTGGATGACGTTGAACTCAAAGAACTTATGGCAGACCCAGCTGGAGAGAGGTGGGAGGATCCAGACCTGGAGACGAGGCTGCAGCAGCGCCTGCCCGAAAGCTACAAGCTGTTCCTCGAGACAATTGTAGAGATCAACAGAGTCGTAGAGTCGTTGAAACAGGAGATGGGTGTCACCAATTCTAGCTTTCAGGCAAGAGTTGATGAGGTGAGTATTGCGCAGAGTTGTGCAGGTTCAAAGCTTATGTGTGCAGAATAGTGTACTTGTCAAAAGTGCATCTCGCGTTGACTTGATGAGCAGAGCGAACTTCGAGTTCCAGTCGAAGCGCATTAAGTTCAGCTTGAAGAAGTCTACACGGGAGCGGCTCTTCAAGCAGCTGGAAGAGGCATGCAACCAAATGCAAAAACTTCTGGAGCTTGACGATCAAATTATCACGGCGCGTCAACAACGGAGTATCTCCAAGTCTACTACTCTCATCGACCGTAAGATCAATGACTTTTGGCGACATGCAAAACGGTTACACGGGGCCTTGACAAAGGCTTGGCAGTGTGGCTGTTTGAGCCATACAGTAAACCTTGGGTTAGCTGGTCCCACAGCTGGAAAAGTCGAGTTCGATATCGTCTTTCTCCTACAGGCCAACGTGCAACGTAGCACAAAGATCAAGATTACAGATGCTGACAATGTGTCGATAGCCGTACCTCCGACCGCAAATACGAGGGTTCGATGGTGTGCTCCAACATTGCCAGCGCCAGCCACACAGCTGCGAGACGAGCCCATGTCGTCTATCAAGAACTTATGCAGTACATTAGATACTCAATGTATGGGCTGCATCGGGTTCATAGAAGAAGACGATTATCGCTTCATCTTCCATCATGACGCAACAGCGCCTTTGAGCTTGGGCATACCCGCGACAAGTTTGCGAGATCTTCTGCAAGACAACAACGTTCTCACTAGACGCAATCGGTACTGCCTCGCCCTTACGCTAGCGACATCATTTCTCAGGCTGGGAGCTACGCCATGGCTCAGCATGCGTCTCCGCAAAGACGACATTGTTTTCTTGTCGAATCAAAATGATCCTGCGACCGCGAATCTGGATCTTCCCTACATCTCACAAGAGATGTCGCCCAACCCAGGCGCTCAACCGACCGATGCTCTGTCCAGTCTAGGCATCAGGCTGCTCGAGCTGTGTTTTGGCAATGCTTTGGAGTCCATGCCAATCCGTAAGACGCTGAGTCCTGGTGACACGGTCACAGCTCCTGTACTCGATTGGGCGGCTGCCATGCAGTGGAGTAAGATGGCCAGTGATGAGGCAGGCCCAGAATTTGCAGGAGCGATCGAATGGTGCTTGAGGGCAAACGAACTGACGAACACGAACTGGAGGAAGGACTTTGTGCAGAATGTGTTGTGCTACCTCTAGAGTCATGTCACAGGCAGTTGTCGCAGAGGCCCTGAGGCAATCTGAGCACCTCTTATCGTGAAGATCCACATTTCCCAAATGGTACTGGCGCTGACGTCATCGGTAAAATCGTCGTCTCGAACGGTGAGAAGTCGAAGCACGAGCTCCCAGCAGTAAGGAACAAAGTAGGGGCGTCTTTATCTCTAATCTCGTCGCGCCGACTGCAAGGTTATTCTACCGAACCACCAAGCTGTGCTTGGCAGTCACCAGTCGCATTTGTATTTGTTAGGTGACTCAGCCTTACAACCCCACATCACTGGCCACCACCACACAGCATCACTACACTAAGTATGCCTCCGAGAGTCCACATAATCAGGCATGGGCAAGGCGATCACAATGCGACTGTAAGTCAGGAGTCCAATAGCCTGAACTGACGATGATCTCACACCATTGCAGCGTGACTACACTATCCGCGACGCACTCCTCACTCCCAAGGGGAAAGGGCAATGCAGCACCCTCCAGTCCGTCTTCAAGTATCACAACGACATCGACATTGTTTTCTCGTCGCCACTGCGACGCACCATTCAGACGGCGTCCTTGAGTCTGGGTCCAGCACTAGCTCGCAATGAGGTTCCCTTCGTGCTGCTGCCGCCGTTGCAAGAAGTCAGCGACATGGGGTGTGATGTGGGCCTTGCAGACAATGCAGACGATGTAGTGCGAATCTTGCCTACGCTCTTTGCGGAAGGAGAACTACCCTTTGATTACAACAAGATCGACGCTTCGCACGTGACTGAAGGCTGGAACGGCAAAGTTCGTTGATTTTGATGCATATCGTTCGATGTTCAGCTAATCGTATTTAGAAAGGATACTGGGCGTACGAGAAAGACGCGATATTAAAACGTGCAGCAGACCTAAGGAGCTTTCTACAGCAACGATCAGAGAAACAGGTTCGTCAACATGCCTAACTCGTATTATCCTTGCTGACCAACAAGATCGTACTGGTCACCCATGGTGCATTCACTCACTTTCTAACCGAAGATTGGGATGTTGAGGATCCAATGACTGGCACAGCATGGCTGAACTGTACGTCACCACTTTCGAGCCTGCCACGAGCATACTGACCAGATAGGCGAACATCGTGTATTCGACTTCACACCTGATTCCACTGCCACAGACGCCCATCTGCGGGAGACCGATGAGAGCAAGTCATCAAGGAATGGTGAGGAGAGAAAGCACGATCCTCATGTGCTGGAGGAACTGGTCAAGGTATCTTCAAATGAAAGTCAAAGCTGATAGTTCACGTGTGGAGCGACTCGACCTTACAAATAGTTGCGAGGCTACCACACGGGCTTGTCACATCAACATGCACGTATCGAACTTAGCCGCCGGACCCGAAGGTCAACTTTTCATGACCAACGGAAGGACACAGAGCGGTGTCAGGACTGACAGACGATAGAACCATGTCTACTCTAATGCAGCAGCAACACTATATACAAGATCTCGATCGTTACCAATCATTTCTTGACTTTGTGCCAAGTTCTTTCGTTCTTTCCCCGCAAAGCTGCTCCGACTTTGGGTCGCTATCCCACAGCTTCCAGAACTCAGTACCCGGGGCATCCACAGCATCGTGACTCTACCCCGCTTGCCTCCAAACCACTAATCGCCGACGAGAACGACACGGAGTCCATTGCGCTCGAAGGGCCGAATCCGGCATGCTGTCTCCGAGAAGACACTCTGTTTCCAGAACTTGTGAAGGGTCCGTCTGGGGTACAGACAGCTGCTACTCATTTGCGTCCACCGTAATTGGCTCATCTCTGAACTCTATAAAACCCCGTTATGCACTCCAGGATGTGCACAGGTAAAGATAAGCACGCGAGCGTCAAGGGCGCTGTTTGCGCGTTCTACCCAGTGACAAAGCGGTTGTACCATTTCATTACCCTTCCAAAATACCCAGGTGGCACGAGCATCACGAATGCGATGTCAGAAATTACTGCTTGTGGTCTAGACATCGGTTGCAGTCGGGCGGTGCCTGACTAACTAGCGCGTCGGCACCTACTCGGCCAGGAATGACAAGATACGCCACTCGCCGGGATGGTGCGGATGGAAATGCTTGACTGAACCCACAGAGGCCGAGGATGGAAGACGGCTCGCGCCGATAGGGCTGCAGTTCCTCACGTCGGTGGCGTTCTATTTGCGTCGTCACTGTGCGTCTCCGTTATCTGCAGCAAGCAGCAAGTCCAACGATTTCAGCTGCATCTTTCGCGGAGAGCGCGTCGTGATGTCACAGATCATTGCTCCATTCGAAACAGGGCGCCCACGCATGAGAGCTGCACGTCCCCCTGGTGCAGGTGTGCGCAACGTAAAATTTTCGAAATTTTACGTCAACTGCAGCGCGCTATGTGGAGCGCATCATCCCTCGCTGCTGCAGGGGCAGGCTACACACTGTGAGGCGTACAACGCGCACGCCAGGGCAACATCATAGCGCCCTGCGATGCTGTCTGCTACGAAGCCGAAGGGTGCATCGTCTCCAGACTATGCTGCCAGAAGGCGCCCAGACCGGCAGTCTGGAGAAACTGGAGTGTAGGGTTGTGTGATCGGGACGTGTGAACGCCTCCAGAGACCAGTGAAGTCTCTGATGCCGGGCGTGCTGCGAGGTTCAGCCTCTCGCTTGGCGCAATGCTTGTCTGGGTGCAACCCTAGCGGTGGGCCGACCGCCTCAGCCGTGAATGGCCACCTGGGTATGCCCGTTGGTAGCAACCAGCCCCGAGATTCAACCCCGACTCGAGCTGCTCGCTGCCGCGCCGGTCAATTTCGGTCACAGCGTCCTGGAGCGTGGAGCGGAGTATCTGATAGCCACCATTCTATTACACATTTGGGGAAGTGGCAGATAAGCTGGACGACTACAAAATACATCATGTTGCCCCAGTAGCACGAGTCCTGCATCGCGACTCTATCACCTATCCACTCAACTAACAACGGTTCGTCGCTATCGCCTTCCGTCCCAAGGTTTGGCTGCGACCTGCATTACGACTTCTGCTTTCAGCATCGCCTTGGCCTAGCTCGCCGGTAGAAACTGACCCTCAAAACGAAGTCCTGTCCCCGCCTTTTCGACACGTCAACTTTGTCTCAGTCTCACTTTTGAGCAGCCTTCATCCATTATGCAGGAAGTCCAGAGGTCATACCCGGAGCGCGGCTACGACGCCAACCCTCCTGTTTACCATGGGGACGACATCTCCTCCGAGGGCAAGAAGAGCGACCCCGAGCTCAACATGCCTCTCGACAAGACCGCCACAGTCCAGGAGGGCTCCGAGAGATTCAACCAACTGGGATGGAAGCGTCTCACCATTTGCCTGATTGTCGAAGCCATTGCTCTTGGGTCTCTCAGCATTCCCAGTGCGTTCGCAAAGCTTGGAATGGTTGCCGGTGTCATCATGTGCGTGGGTCTCGGCCTGATTGCCATCTATACGTCATACGTCGTCGGTCAGGTCAAGATGCGCTACCCGCACGTCAATCACTACTCGGATGCCGTGCAGCTCATCTGGGGTCGCTTCGGATACGAGCTCGTCGGAGTCATGTTCGCGCTATTCCTGATCTTGCTTGTTGGATCCCACGCTCTGACCGGTACCATCGCCTTCATCAACATCATCGATAACTACCAGATCTGCGCACTAGCATGGGGCGTGGTTTCACTCATCATCCTGCTCCTTCTTGCTCTCCCGCCATCCTTTGCGGAATTCGCGATTCTGGGCTACATTGATTTCGTCAGTATCATTGTCGCAATCCTGGTTACTATTATCGCGACCGGTGTCCAGGCGCACAACGCGCCTGGTGGCCTTGCCGCGGTTTCATGGTCTGCATGGCCCCCGGAGAACACCACATTCTACGAGGCATTCTTGGCAACCACCAACATTGTCTTTGCCTACTCCTTCGCAGTCTGCCAGTTCTCGTTTATGTCTGAGATGCACACCCCTAAGGACTACGTCAAGTCCATCTGGGCGCTTGGTCTGATTGAGATCTTCATCTACACAGTCACAGGAGCTCTCATCTACGCCTTTGTCGGTGCTGATGTCAAGTCTCCTGCTCTGCTTTCCGCAGGTGATACCGTGTCCCGCATTGCTTTTGGTATTGCTCTGCCTGTCATCTTCATCTCCGGATCGATCAACGGTACGGTTGTCGGCAGGTACATTATGGACCGCGCGTTCCCCAACTCGCCTATCCGCTACGTCAAGGGTGCTCGCGGCTGGGGCGTCTGGTTTTGCCTGATCACTATTATCACGGTCATTGGCTGGATTATCGCCGAGGCCATCCCCTTCTTTAACGCGCTCCTCGGTCTCATTTCCTCCCTGTTCATCTCAGGTTTCACCTTCTACTTCCCCGCGCTGTTCTGGTTCCAACTTGTCAGGGAAGGCGGCTGCTTCTCTAGCCGCAAGAACATTGCGCTGACTTTCCTCAACGCCGGTGTACTCATCATCGGTATCGTTATCCTTGGTGCTGGTACCTACGCTTCGGTCGAGGACATCATTCACCAGTACAGCGGCGGCAATGTTCGCAGCGCGTTTACCTGCTCCGCTGTGTCTTACACATAAAGCATGATTATGAGCATTTAGCACGGCGTTTGTTATTTATATATCAGTCTGGATAGACGATGCAATGAGTCTGGGTAATGTCTGCAAGATACCAGCATGTACTATTTTATGATCTACAAATCGAATCATGATCTCATCCAAGTTCCAAAATGAGCTCTATACACAGTGAGACCTTTAACTGACTCAGCAATGGCTGCAGGTGGTGCGCCCTCAACAATCTAAACCTTGAAACGCAGCACATTTCACGCGGAAAGTTAGCTGCTCAAACGGACGTTCACACATCATCGATGTAATCTTCCGCCCTGCCACTTCTCAAACAATTCTTTCCAACAGGATTCCCGGCACAATCCTCCCAAACACCGCTCTCTGTCACCCTGGAAACTCCCAAGCGACCGAAACGGGACTTGCCTGTCCTCCGATACAACCCACGAAGTCGCGACCAAAACCAGCCCATTAACTCAAATCAGCCGCAATCAACTTGTTGAGGTTGTTGGGTTCCTCGCAGGTACTAGAGTTGCACGACCCACGACTGGTTGGCATGCAGTGACGGACCTACGGGGTTACGGATTCATGTTGAGAGTACGCAAAGGGCTGCCACGGTTGTAACCTTTCCGTCGCCGGTGGCCTTTGTGTCGTGTTTGCTGAGGAAGAGGAGCGCTGGGGTCGCGTGTGGGAAGATTCGGCGCGGCGACGGGTTGTGTGGTCGTTACCTGGAGTTCAGAGTGTTGCTGAATGCACCGTTCGTCGGCTTCGATACCTCTGCACCTCGTCTTCGCAGCGTCGAGAAGTGATGTATATACTGCGATTCGTGTGTTTGCGGCCTGGAGGAATTACCGCTCAGCGCACTGCCAGCGTCGAGCCTCCGAGTGCAGACGCATCAAGCGTTGCAATGCCCACGTGGTGTCAGTTCCGCAGTCACGATTTGCCCGATGTTGCCGTATGGACGCTGCCTTGTAATAAGACGTTCGCAGTCGCGTGCGACAAATGTACATTGTGTGAGGAAGTTTGCGACATACTTCGCGCCTTCCCGCTCCACGACTCGCGGAACGATCTCCGCCTTCTCGAAATGGCGCGGCGATCGACACCCCTGTCCGGCGGATCCGCACCATGACGCGGGGACACTGCCGAGAGAACCACGATATCGAACATATCAACTGTGAAGAACCCGTACGTCCGCCGGAGACAAACATCTGACGCAGAAAGGGAAACAAACAGAAAGAGTCTACAATGGCGGAACAGAAGCAGGAGCCAACGCTTTTGATCATTGGTGCTGGCACCTTCGGCACCTCTCTTGCCGTGCATGCTTCAAAAGCCTACCGCGATGCATCGAGAATCACGATAGTTGACCGTTGGTCTCCAGACGGGCCTGTGCAGGACAAACAGGCGGCCGCAATTGACATCAACCGCATCATCCGCACCGACTACACCTCACCGCTGTATTGCAACCTCGCAAATGAGGCCATTCACTTCTGGTTCTGGGGTATGGAAGTGCAAGGCCATTTTCACAAAGCAGGGTGGACAGTATTCGATGGCCCTGATCAGAGTCAAGAATTCAGGTCGGGCGTGCGCAAGACTTTTGAGGAAAGGGGATCGAACGTCATCAAACAGCTTGACGCGAATGACTTGATTAAAGAGCAAGATGTCTTAAAAGGTCTGGATGGCGACAAGCTGGGGAAGGGATACTTCAATCCTGAAGCGGGGTGGGTAGATGCAGCAAGCGCGACCAAGGCCTATTTGAGAATCGCGGAAAGCAGAGGTGTGAAGAGAGTCACTGGCGAAGTGAATGAATTGCTGCTGCGTGACAACGGGGAGGGGTTAGCAGGTGTGCGGCTACACGACGGCACGGTCTTGAAAGCAGACAAAGTCGTTGTTGCAGCTGGTGCCTGGACAAGCAGCTTACTTTCTCCTCTCGAGGACAAACTCGACATTGCAGACAAAGACCGAATCGAACGGCAGATCACAGCCGTTGGACGACTATCCGCTTACTACGATCTGAGCGAAAGCGAGTCAAAACACATGATGGAGACGAAACTTCCGATCGTAGTCATTGGAGGCGAGGTCGACATCATCCCTCCTTACTATCACTTACCCTGCCTGAAGATCAATGACCTCAAGACCGAGTTCACGAACACCATCATTACAGCTTCAGGGCGGCGTATCACGACACCCAGCACAAGGAACCAGATGCAAGTTCCCAAAAAGCTTACCCAGGAAAGCGAAAAAGTCCTCAAAAACAGCATGCCAGGATGGACAAAATCCCGAAGCCCAGACCGCTGGCGCATATGCTACGATGCCGTCACCCCGACCGAAGACTGGGTGCTATCACGACACCCCGACAATCGGCTCAAGAACATGTACATTGCAGTCGGTGGAAGTTTCCACTCGTACAAGTTCATGCCGAATGCAGGAAGCTATTTGCTCAACGTGATTGAGGGCAAGAGTAATGGAGAGGAGAAGGATAGAGCGTGGAAGTGGAAGAGTGAGGACGAGCTGAAGGAAAGATGCGCGAAGGAGTTTGGTAACAGTCCCCGGAATGAGCACAGGAGAGAGTTGAGTGATTTTGAGGAGGAGAAAGCGAGGCTATAGAGACGGTCGTTTTGCTGGATAACACAATCATGTTGTGAAGATGTAGGTCGATGTTCTGTTTGACGTCTCGGTCTCCAGGTGAGCCACGGAGGAGCTATAGTTCAGTGCAAGGGCTTTGGCCGCAAAGATTGCTTGTGGCGTACGCACAAGCTCTGCTCAGCTTGGAACGAACCTCTGTCATGATGACATGCGTGCATGGCAGCAAACATCACTCTTGCCAACCTCAAGTGTGGAGTGGGTAGCAATCAGCAAGCCCAGATGGCGTACTGCCACTCTTTCCATCTGGCTACGTGAGACCACACATGTCCATCATCACATAGGAAAGATCCACCCAAACCCGATATGACCTCCCAGAAAGGAAAGACTGAGACATCGTTCGTACATATGCGCAATGATCTCAGTGAATCGCCTTGGTGGAATGAGCAAGATGTCAAAGCACTACATTTCGACGCAATGATCAGCAAGGAAGCAATCATTTCTTATTTTGGCGAGAAAGTGGGCTCAGAAGCATCTTGTACAAAAGTCAAAGACGGCCGTTGCTATGCTCAGAAAACGGTATAGGAATGTGAATAACCGACAATGAGAAAACACTTCTGCCAGATCAGAGTGGAGGGGCAAGCTGTCGTCATCATGTGCAAATCCTTCGTTGACGAAGAGGCCCGTGAAGGAGACAACCGAGATCGAACCTTTTTCCTTATGACTTGTGTAGTGGGCACAAGCTCACGACATCAAATCACGGGCTATGTCGATAGGTCATTCGCGTTGCGTCGCAAACAATAGTCGAAGCAAATCAAGATCAGCAGCACTGTGGGATTTCTTCTTCACAAGCTGTATAGCAAACTTTGATTGCTATAATAAGACCATGTCCACTATACTGAGGCATCTTCGCAACAGAACTTTACAGACCACACTGTTCAGGTGTTCAACATGTCGGCCGGATTGACCTTTGACGAACGTGTGTGGATGCATCTGTACCATCACTTAGTACTGGCGGTAATAGATTATAATGGTTCCGTCATCGAGAGGCTTGATGATGCGACACTGCACAGGGCCTTCTATGACTTCTTCCCCTACTCATTAGAACGCTCGATCTTTGAGCTGGACAGCTTGCGCAACGTCCTTCTTCCCGAACTCATGGGCCAATTTCATCGCTGGCCAATAGAGGCGAGTCGGGGCCTTGAAGTTGACATTCCTGATATTACGGCAGAAATGGTGGAAGAATATGCATGCATCGCATGCGTAGATGGACTGACGCTACCCGATTTGCCCGGTGTGGACTTTGGTGAGTTGTGGGCATTCCTCAACGACAAAGTACAAAACCAGTACTTCGTTCAGCCGCACGATCTACTGGCATCAAATTTGCTCAACTCTGTTTCAGAGAATGAAGCTAGCAGTGTCTTGACACATACGCCGCACGATGATAGCTTCGATCACGGCAATGTAGACTCGGATGCAGGAGTTGCCCCAAGCAGCAAACATGCAAAGGAAACATTCGAGATACTACCTTCTGGAGGCGTGCGCGCTCGATTCAGTTTAGTGAACGAAGGCAAAGAATACGTACAGATCGATCATCTGCCTAAGAAGAAGCCTGGCCTCACAAGCGGAAGTTCGGATACCTACATCATGCCAAATCCGTCGAAGCACACGGTGCCTATCCTGAGATCAGGCCAACAGTGGACGAGGAAAAGCTCCAAGGAATTTGTCTGGGTCAGCGGCGACGAAGAATGGGCCATGAAAGCCATCTTCAGGGTTTTTCGCAAAGACAACCACGAATACGTGAAGTACCGTCATCCCGAAGCATGCTTCCAATCTGCCGTCGACCCGAATGACAAAGACTGGAGAACTTATTACAACAAGACGCTTCGTAAGATCGTCGATGATTGCCAATCTGACTACGTCTCAGATGTCAAGAGGGCGCGATGGACCGAAGACGAACAACGCGCCATATACCGCAGCATCAACAAGTGGTGCAAGGAGCACGGTGTGCACAACTTTCCACCTAGGGATCTCCAAAGCCTCTACAGGCAAGTCACCAAGGACGTCAACAAAGAGTGTCACGAGGGAGATAAAGATGCATGCCGCAGTGAAGACGCTGTGAGATCCCAGGTTCAACGCGGTCTGAAAGGAGAAGGCAATAAAACTTCTCCTATCACCGACTTGGTTCACAGGGCTACTCGGATCAAGGGAGAGATGGAGAATGGCGTCAAGTTCTCGAAGGCAAAGCTGTATCCCGATAATGCTATCACGATACCTGGAAAAAAGTGATTGATACATGTATTACAGACTGCCGCTCTGATGAACAGAGGTTGGCAATAACATGGTGTGGAATGATGGACAGCTTGGAATCATAGTACAATACAATTGATCTGCTATTTTCATTCCCACCCTCTGGTATCGTGCTCAGTTTCCCTTCCGTAGTTGAACTTGGAATGAGTGACAGACCGGATTTTCAGGCATAGAAAGGTCTTCGCCTCAAAAGCGTCGCACTATTTCCAAACCACCATTTGCGCACTTTCGCGTGACTTTCCAGATGATCTGACACTTGTCGTTTGAATCCATCCAGTGGATATGTTGAAGTTCTTCTTCTTTGCAACAACAAGTCCGTAGAGGTTCAGGAGGCTCTTGAGGATTTTGTGGGCTCTCTGTTGGAGTGGGATCGCGAATGAGTACTGCACATGGTCCGCGTTGAAGGTGGTAATTGAGGACAAGTCTGGGTTGGCTGGATGAAGACGTCACGGCGTTCCAAAAACTTATGAGTTTTTTTTCGTGAACCTTTGTGCGAATTCATGGCGTTCAAATACCGTTTCGTCTCGCGAGCAAGTATGCTCACGCCTTGGCTGAGCAGTTATGAAACTATCCACCACCCGCCAATAATCGTACCAACTAGAATAACGATGGTTAGTATACTAGCACCAAGCTTGTCACTAGTAGTGACGGAATTGAGATTGGCAGCATGATCAGCAGGTGTCTTGTTTCCAGCGTCGGGGTCGCTTTTCGAGATTCCGCCTCTTTCAGCAGTGGCTGGCCCATCGACAGTAGGATAGAGCAATGCCTGCACTATCTCCAATGCAGCCATCTGCTCACCAACACCAAGGCTCCCGTCGTTTTTGCCGTTATCGATCCATCGGAGACCGCACGACACCTGATCTTCACCAGCATTACACTGTGCTGCCGCAGCTTTGGCTGAGGCTTTGAGCAAAGGGTCGATTTGGTCACGCGTCCAGGGGGCGACGATGGCTGTATATCCTAGCCAACGGGCAAGATAGGCTTTGAAAGAGCGCTGGTCAACGTCGCACTTTCTATTGTTCTCACACGCGACTTCAGTCATGACGCCATTCTTGAAGAAGACGTTGATTCCTTTGATGACACCCTGAAGCCTATTTCGCCATAGGTCGTTCTGAGTCTTGTTCATGTAAGCAAATGTGCACTAATGTAGTAAGACTGTCTTGTACGTACCACATTCCACATGGCAGCAGCACCGGACATGTGCACACCGGCATTATACGTCCACTGCATATGGGCAATAGAGGTACAGTTCTGAAGGTCATCGGTTCCGTCGAAGAAATGCGAATCTGGGCTTATAAGTCCCACAGACAGCTCCCAATCCCAGGTCTTCTCAGCCCACTCGGAGTACGTCTCGTTGCCAAGGTACTTGTACAGACGTGCAGCAAGGTTAAAGAAGCATCCATTAGAAATAGTGTTCTTGTAGGTGTATCCAGGGTTGAAAGGAAAGATCTGCCATTTAAGCCCCCCGCTGCATGTTGTGTTGTCCCATCGCCTGTATTGGGTCTGGAATACGGCCTGAGCGAGAGAGAGCCAAGAAGGCCCATCTTTGAGATCGGGTAATCTGTTCTCGGCAGCTGACATGGCAGCCATGCCCCAGAAGCCTTGATCATCGTTTCCTAGTGACTTGGTCTGATTTGGCGGCATAAACGCGTTGTTGTCCCCAATCTGATGCTCTAGAGCCTGTGTTGTGATCTCGTTATACTGGTCATCTCCAGTATAATACCAGTAGTCGATGAGGGCGTTGAACATGGCACCGCATTCCCACCAGTAGTAAGGATCTGGAAGATTACCTGGGACATCGCCTGGTCTGTCGCCAGTATATTGATTTCGAAGGTTAGTGGAAATTGCCTTTGCCGCCTTTTTGATCGAGTCTACGTCCATTAGCGCTATCCTCAGGCTCGCCGGCATTCATGAAAGTCTCACCTGCCGAATTGACCTCCAGTTCGATAGCACCTACACCTATCAGCAATAGAACTGAGACACCAATGGCCCCGAAGGGGAATGTAGGCTTCATGTAAATTTATTCGACGTGGAATTAGATTCCGTGTAAATCTGGCAGCCAGAGTGACGTTCTTTGCAAACCTATATAGAATGCAGCTAGCATTGGGCGCCACGCTCTTGAGTAGGTGGGACGAGACCCTGAGTAGGATACGCTCTGGATACGCTCTGGATACGCGATGTGCCTCTGGTCCGGTCGGTCCTTCGCTCAATTGGGAGTTGTTCTAAGATTACAAGGCTGACTCGGCAAAATCGGATCAGAGTCGTACAGATTCGCACGACACAAAAGGCAGAGTCAAGAGAAATTGACATCAATTGACGTTTATCTATAGTAGTTGATCAAAGAATAGCTATTCTTGGTGTGATTGGCGAGGCCCATGCAGGCCCATATGTGGGCTTTGAAAGCGGCGCAGTCACACCTCACGCATGTTTTTGTGGCATACGGCGTAATACATGGAGTCATGCCTACTGCGATATCATGTAACAATGCTACATGCCGAGAGCCGTCATTAAACACGTTACATCAATTATGAAACGAAGTACTGTGCCCGTGCACCTCAAAGGCCTCTGTCTAGCTCACGGACCACCTCTTCACGAGGCTTAATATTGCCCGAGCAAATATAGAAGAATCTGAATTTCAAACACGAACGCTATTGACGTGAATTCTGCCTTGACTGGCTTGGCTGCATTCAATAGTAGGGACAGTCCCCTCTGCACACCTCGGTCGGATAATGTTTATCAATAATCATGCTGGGTCGCATTGTGAGCAAGTACGACACTCTGAAGGTTGCTTTTACTTTATCTACAATTGAACATTTCTATCGCGCAATGAGAGTACGCTAGGTATCAAAGAATCGGACTAAACTGGCTCTGTTGTGTGAAGCTACAATGACATGGCTACTGGAACGTAGAAGCAAGACTCGGATTAGTAGCACTCGGCGATATAACCTCGCAGGAAATGGAACCTACTGGTCTAGGTCTTATCTATCTTGACTGCATTATAGATCACAGTTCGTCGGCAGAGGCAAGGCAGCTACTATTCATCAGAGACCCACCTTTTAGTTCCCTGAGGACCTTAAGGACGCGAAAAAGGCCTGATAATGACGAGTGCGACGACGAGAATGAAGAGAAACATGCTCCATTGCCGCATTTGAAGTTCTGCGTAGGTATGCAGCACGACGATTGTATAAACTCATAGGTAGGTAGGTCAATTTTATGTTGCACCTTCTGTAAGCTTTCGCACCTGCTCATCAAGCGGGCTTACTACAGATTCTCGGTAGATGTTCCTCCTGTTTTGTATCAGGCTCAATTGCGCCCCCATTTCTTTGATGCTAGGTAATATTCCCGGATCTTAAGCGATGTTGGCCAGTTGTATCAGTGTTGGTGGCTAAGTCAAATGGAAACCTTGGAAGGTTGTTTGCAAAACCGTCGCCCAAGATCCCTGCCAATCAGATCGGCCTTTCATCTGCTCTACCCGAACAACAAACCTGTAGCTGAGAGTCACGTCTGACTGCATTGCCCCCCTTTCTAGGACGTACTCCTCAAGAAGGCTTCGGCGTAGAGGAGCTACTAATGATCTAGAGCTGTGGCGGATGAGTTTTCGCAGAATGAATCACTGCCTATTGCCAATCGGGCCAATCGTCTAGGGATGTGTATACCCTTCTCGTGTACGGGAAACACCAGGGGGCAGTAGGGAGTTGGGATACTTGACAACCAGAGCTGTCGTGTAATCCTGGATATCCCGCACTACTAGCGCGTAGTATGAGTCACGAATATGAGTGCTTTGTGATATGTCTTCAGCAGCAGCGACACTGGATACGGTAAAATCCAGGGCATATGTGGTGAGCGGCCAGGAGATAATAAGACTTTCTGCGCGCTCAGCCCTGCTGGGGCAACGTACGAGTAAAGCAGTGCTCAGGTAGGCAGTCACTGTAGTTTGTAGATCCGTTCTTTTTTGCATCGGTATTGCTTCGTTGTTGTGTTGTCATCGTCTGCAATGATGCGTAGTTTCTCGATGCGTGGCGCTGCCTCCTCAGCAATACCTTGCCCCGATTCGTCAGCTACGTCCCACTGTTGCTGCATCTTCCGGTTCTTTTGTGGGCCGCGAGGTACACAGCTGGTGGAGCCTGCATGGTTCGTCGGAACATCGTCTCCGAAAGAACGTCAAGAATAGGCCAGTCAGATTGCTGTGTCATGGCTCTCCGCAAAGCTGTGCCGACGTACCACAGCCTTGAACAGCGTCAACTCTGCACATCTACTCGAGCTCCGAGGTTCTGGTAGCGGGTGGGTCTGAGAGACAAAATATCACACACGTTCCTACCAAGTACCGTGCAGGTCTGTAAGAAATGTACTCGGTTGCCCATTTTGCATCCACGACGTGGTATCGGCATCCACTTGCTGCACGGCTGTATTGAAGGTGTGGTGGTGCTTTGATCCACATGCACAAGTCAGCCATCCGCGTCTTCTGGAACTCCGGGGTAAATTTGACGCTGAAGGCAGCTACCTTCCATGTCGGTAAAGAACTTCGGGACTCAACGTGTTGCACGTCAGCACACTGCGCATGGCGGATGGGTCAACGGGTCGATTCTGGACATGATGCAAGTGCCCTTGACCACAGCTCAATGCAGACCTTGGCTCTCGATCATCGCCGGCAAGCCGTTGTCACTGTGTGGCGTAGCAGGCAGTATTTGTTCTGCCGTCTTTGCGACTGCCAATCTTCCAGAAACGTCAGCCGTCAAAACCCATCAGCAGTCAGCACACCATCGACTCATTTTCGCGACGTCTTCGCGGCTCGTCTCTTTCCATCGCAGCTTTTGAGCAGCGTAGCCTACCTGTGTGATTTTGGTCACCGCCTACTTATCGGAGTCGAAGCCGGCCGCGCAACAGGGCTGTGCAGGTTTTGTGTTGTCGTGTTTTCGAACTCAAAGGCGGTTTCCCGCGGATGATGGCACCCGAGTGGCTATCTCGACCTCGGCCGCTTCGGGCTATCCCGGCCAGTGACGTCTAGACCCGATGCTTGCCAACACCACGAGTGAGTACCCGTATCGTCATGATAGGGTATATATGTCATAGGTTTCCCCACTTGCGCAGCCTCATAGGGCTTTGTATCCGCTGTCAGAACTGTTTTGAGATTGACATTGGTGTTTCGGCGACTTGTACCCGAAGGCGATTTCCAAGATTTGACGAAACAACTGGACATATTTAACGATGCCGACGCCACCGTTCTCGCAAGATCGCCGAGACTGGCTCACTGAGGTTTCTGGGCTATTTGCTAGCAAGAAAAAGCCAATCGCAAAAAATCAATTCAAGAGCACCAATTCTCTAGCTCTGTCCACATCATCGTCAAATTCGTTCAGATCTACTTCGACGTACTCCCTCATCGGCAAATTACGAAATTGAAGAAACCCTTGCGATAAACCAGCCTGACGCGATATGGCGCCACAGAAGATTAAGCAATGGAAGTCCGGCCAGGATGGACTCGAGAAACTGTACATGGAAGAGGTGGACATCCCTACTCCAGGCGAAAATGAAGTGCTGGTTGAGATTCATTCGGTGTCGCTGAACTACAGGGATACTGAAGGTATGCGACACCACCAGACATTGCGGCGACGGCCACTAATAGCACATAGTCTGTATGGGTCTCTACAACCATCACAAACATGTCGAGCAGCCACCCGCCGTTGTCCCTGCTAGCGACATGTGCGGCATCGTTGTTGCCGTTGGGCCCCGCCTGACAAACGCAACCGATCCCTTCATGGGCCCCGACTCTGCTATCAACGAAGGTGACCGTGTCGTGGCAACGTTCGCGCAGACCCACGTCACCGGCCAAGTGCAAGCGCGTGACCTTGCAAACGGACTGGGCAACCCTCTTCCTGGTGTGCTCACACAGTACCGTGTCTTCCCCACCACCGGCCTGCTCAAGGTGCCGCAGTATCTCTCCTCCGATGAGGCGGCATGCCTGCCCATCGCAGCGGTCACGGCGTGGATGAGTCTGAACTGCATGCGTCCCAAGGGCGAGATCATCGGGGCGGACGAGACAGTCGTATGCCAGGGTACGGGCGGTGTGTCTATTTCAGCAGCGCAGATCGCTTGCGCCGCTGGCGCAAACGTCATTGTCACATCCTCATCTGATGAGAAGCTTGAGCGTGCGAAAAAGCTCGGCGCGAAGTCGACGATTAACTACCGCAACACGCCGGATTGGGACAGCGAAGTCCTGAAGCTGACAGAAGATCGGGGTGCGGATGTTGTCATCGAAGTCGGTGGCGCGCAGACGCTGCGCAAGTCTTTCGAGGCAGTGCGCTTCGGTGGGTTGATCGCGTGCATTGGCTACCTCTCTGGCAAGGAGGACTCGGAAGGCGACAGGACCAACACCAACTTGCTATGTCTGAAGCGGAACGTCACATTGAAGGGCATCATCAACGGGCCCCGTGACGAATTTGCACGCATGCTGCAGTTCTATGACGAGAGAAAAATCAGGCCTGTTGTCGACAAGGTGTGGAAGTTCGAGGAGGCGGATAAGGCGCTACAGTACCTGTTCAGCGGCGGTCACTTCGGCAAGGTCGTCATCAAAGTCAAAGAGTGAACCCGAACACGTGTTGAATGATAGTCATGAAATAATTTAAACATTAAGATACCTGATCGTCTACTACACGACCATCTACACCGGCTCAGTCACCTCAGTTTTGATACTGAGCAGGCACCTCGGGCCACTCGTCCACGCCATCCAAAATCACCGCTGCCATGCCTCCATTCAAATGAGTCTGGATGTGACAGTGCAGCATCCACGCCCCCGGGTTCTCCACCTTGTACCGGACTGCCAACCACGTCGGCTGCGTCGAGCTTGGCGGCGTCACGAAGCCGTCCCTGTAACTTGGGTTCACCAGGTTGAACAGCTCTGGCTTCTCAGCTGCAGCGCTAGCGACATCAGGCCATGTGAAGTTTCCCGCCCCGGCGCCGAGGATGAAAGCACGATTACCGTGCTTGTGAATTGGGTGAGGCGGCTGTGAGAGGTTCGGAACCAAGATGATCAGGTCGATCCAGGTGGCATTCTTGGTGACAAGAGTGATGTTGCCGTCGCCATTCTGAAGGGTTGGAGGCAGGTATAGTAGCGGTGCAGTGTTGTCGAAGGCTGTGTTGCTGAATGGGGTTGCGTTGAGCGCCCAAGTATAGCTGTTTCCTACGTTACCCGTTGTGAGGAAGAAGGTTTGCGCTGGCGAGGGTGGTGGTTGGGGAAATTGTGGGGGAAATGAAGTGGTCGAGGCGTGCTCGAGGACGGTGACGCCTGGGGAGACAGCGAATCCGGCACGATTTGTATACGGCTTTGATCTGAGCTCTGAGCTTGAAGAGTTCGTGTAAGGGCCGTTCGTGGTTTTATATCCTCCCTCGCTTCCAGGAGTAGGGGAGTAGCTAAAGAGTGCAGTGGTATCGATGAGCTGCACGAGGGCCAAAGATGCTACGCGGATACCGAAGTTATTCTTATTCCCCGGATTGGTAAGTTCAACGAAGACAGAGTAGCGATCGCCATTGGCGACCGTCAGGACGTCGGCTTGTACGGGTTCGATATAGTGCCCATCGACTGCGTAAACCCAGAGTGGATGTTCATCAATGCTGAAGGCAAAGGTGTCGATGCCGGCAGACGAAATTACGTCGAGTGCTAGCCACTTTTTGTTGCTTGGAGCCCTGATGGTTTCGCGGCTGCCTTGCGTAGGGGTGCAAATCTCAAAGACTGAGGGGGGTAGCGCGGAAGGGTTGAGGTCGGCGCCTCCAAGAAGGATGGGAAAGACCGCTGGCGGGAAGCAACCTTTGTCTGTCAATTGTAGGTTGGCTTGAGTCAACACTGGTGCAATTGCCGGGCTCGTAAATTTGGTAATCTCTTCTCGTGACCAACAATCGACCGCGCCTTTGCCATTGACAAGGATCGCATCCATGCAGACGGCACTTTCGATGCCGGAGGCTATCTGGTCCGCCCACGTTTCCTCAGATGTCCGATGACGCCAGTCGGAGAGCAACAGAGGGACTGCAGCAGCTGCAGCCTCTTTGAGAAGACCGACCTCTGCAGGAGCAATCTTGTCGAAGGGGTTGATAACTCCATCCTTGGACCTGATGACAATAGGACCGTAGGCGCCGTCGTCGATTTGACCACGGCTATGAGCGTGATAGAAATAGCTGCCATGCTGATCGGCGTGCCATCTATATGTGAAAGAAGCCCCAGGTTGAATTGGTCTCTGGGTAAGTCCAGGCACACCGTCGGCCCATGGAGTATTAGTCTGGTGCATGCCTGTGACACTCAGCAAAGTCCACGGATTTGTGCATCATGTGAAACTCACCATGATAGTGCACACTCGATTCGACAGGCATTTTGTTCACAACCTCAATCTCTACCCAGTCGTCTTGCTGTATCTCCAGCAACGGCCCTGGATACTGCCCGTTGATGAAGATCATTTCCCTTTCGAAGCCATCCGGGGAACCCTTCCCAGAAGTCAACTCAAGCTTGAAGTAGCACTCATTCGCAGACACGACAGCTGCAAGGCCGAGACATAGGGTAAGCAATGAGAACATAGCGATGGTAACGTAAGCAGGTAGTGTTCAAAGAAAGGAAATAATCGCACTGCTTGCACACACCTTTCAATGCTGATGGGCGCCGCGCTTCTTGTACTCAGACCGTCCAGCTGGAACCAGATCTTAGGGAATAGTACAGAAGCCTTTTCCAGGCAACGTGCCACGCTCACACTTGCTGCTGATGATTTTAAGACTCGAATGGGGCAAGCGTTGAGTATTCTCCACGAACAACGTTGGCATGATGCTAGAGGCGCAGAGCGACGCCGGGCCTGAGGTAAGGGCTTACATGCTGCATTGTGCAGATTCGGTCACACTAGACCTGTCAAAATCGCCTTTCACAATGAGCTGCATGGCATGCCGTGCATATCAAGCTGCTGCGGTTGGTCGAGCGAACAAGCAGGATAAGCACTACGTCGGGACCGAAGCGAGTCTGTAAATTAGTGTCAGCAGCCTCATGCCGGTCACTCGGATGCTTTACTGCTTGCATCTGGTTGAGTGCATGGCAGCTGCAAGACGCAGGTAACCTGCAATAAGCACAGGCTGCACAAACCACAGGGCTGTAGAGTCGGCGTGAGGCTGCAAGTCCAATATTGGCAATGTCACATGCCTGCGGAGCCGGCATGAATGATGCTACGAGAGAGTCAAACTGCAGCAATCAGCTTGATGTTCGACGATGACTAAATTCCTTGGAAGCTCTGGGCCATGACAAAGAGAGTCAATGGAGATGAGGTGTGTCAGAGGGCGGTGGTAAATTTAGCCCAGTTAGCGCGCCTCGGTTAGCGTTACCGTGTCCGTGCGCGTAATGCGCGGATTCGCGTAATGCGCCGAAACCCCCTAAAGTGCACCTGAAAAATGAGGTTATAGAGCCACGTATAATAGTTATTATTATAAGATTATTTAGTAGAGTGTTCTATAGGTCTATGCAATAATTATTGCCTATATATTTTATTTATATAGAGTAGCAGTGCAGCTACTGCAGGTAGTGTGTGTGCGAGCTAGTAGAGGAGGCGTTGCAGGCTTTAGTTAACTACGCGCACCTATACTATAACGCGCAGGCTTTCTTCTTACTATAGAAGCTTTTAAAGCTGTCTTATTACCTCTTTAGGACAATTGTATAGCTTTCTAGGCGTCCTAAGCTTGCTTCTAACATTCCTTTTTAGCCTTGCGTTTAGCTACTTCTTCTACCTTCTTAGCTTTAATATAGTCTCTCTCTTCCTTCTCTCTTACCTACTACTTATACTTCTCCTAAGCTAGTTGCTCTTTATATAGCTTATTTGCGTGCCTAAGTTTAGCTATCTCTACTTTTCTAGCCTCTTCTACCTTAGCTTCTTATTATTTTACCTGCTTATACTAATGTGCTTTATTAACCCTATAAGAAGAGTAAAACACTACTCTACTATAATAGTCCTTAGGTTCCTAGAAGTTAAGGACTTTACTCTTCTTCTTATGCTTCTTCTAAGTCTTAAGAACCTCTTTTAGGCCTACTATCTTATAGTAGAGTAGCTAGTTTTAGACTAAGATATAGTAGAGCAAGTAGCTAATCTTCTTTAACTCCTTACTACTCTTATTCTTAGTAACCTTGCACAGTAGAGTCTCTATTTTTAGCTAATCTTTGCTAGAATAAGTTAAAGAAGAGCTTCTGCTAGCATTAGAGGCCTAGAGAGAAGGCTTAGCAAAGCAGTAAAAGATAACGTTAGGTTAGAGGGGTGCTATACCTATTGCCTTAAAAGACTTAAGTATTAACTCCTAAGTAAACGTGCTTATCTAGGCCTTCTAGAATAGGTAGAAGAAGTTGCTCTTCTTAATTACTAATAGTCTCTAGCTATTATAAAGGTATATTATAAGCTTCTTTAAGTACGCAGTTAAGAGAGGCTTAAATATTACTATATCTAGCAGCTGCAGCATATAGGTTAAGTAAGGAGGAAGGATAGCTAGTAGTATCTTATTCTAATTATAGTAGTTAATAAAGTCTATAGTTATATAGGATCTATAGCTATTAAGGATTAGAAGGTGCTACTTCCTCTGCGCCTTAGTCTTAGTAAAGCAATTAAACACCTGTTAAAGCTAGGTAAGGCCTATATTATTATTAGTCTAGCTAGTAGGTAATAAGGAAACAAGTATATTATATACCCCTAGCTATACTTCCTCTACCTAGCTTAATTAGATAGTACTATTAGCAGACTTATAGAGGATGCCTAGTAGCAGTGCAGTCCTATTACTATATATATAAGCTAGCAGCATAACCTAGGCTCTATTACTATCTTAAAGTAATACTTTAACCTCCCTCTTCTCCTATATCTACCTACTAAACATATGTTTTATTCTAGTAGTAATCCTAATTATAAACCCCTTTTTATCTATATTATATATATAGCAGCTCTTAACCTTATACTTAGTAACCTTGCGTTATAGTAGGTTAAAGTATAGCTTATACTTTGTATATAAATTAGCATTATAGCAATTAGCATCTATACCTATTAAGTATTAAGAGATAAGATAGATAGAGTAGTTGTTAATAAACTAAGTAACCTAGCTCTTGCTTATATGCTCCTTAGCTATAGAAGACGCAAAATTCTATATTATCTCCCTTATAGGTAGTATAGAATAAGCAGTAAGCTCTTCTATATAAGTTACAAGCTCCTCCTCTTATTATAGAGTGAGCTTTTACTATGTAATAGCCTTCTTATTATGCAACTATGTCTTACCCCTCTACGTGCGCGTTAACGTTAACTGCACAACACTATACTTTTTAGCTATTTTAGACTATAGGATCTTATCTTTAGATGCAAAAGTATCACACTCTAAAAGGGCTTCTTCTAATCCTATCGCGTTGTGTTGTTATAGAGGTAAGATAATAGGGGTGTTTTGGTGGTTCGGCGCATTACGCGAATCCGCGCATTACGCGCACGGACACGGTACTCCTAGCGCCATGTTCTCGCGTGTTCGTCGATCAAACCACCTTCGGCTGTCGTGTGCAACATCCGTCGCACACCTTTCTTCTTTACCTTGCAAACTTCTGACAGTGTTAAACACTCCAACATCCAGCTCATGAGCTTGATGGTCGACGAGGGTACATCACATGTTTTTGCTTGAACTCCCCGGCAGCACTGTCGCTGACACTCAGCCGTGTCGGCCCCTCGCAGCCGTGCACTGCCTGCCGCCACCTCTGCCTCCGAATGTCAGCCGTCATCTGACTTGACACCGCTCGTATACCAACGACCTTTCACATTGACAAGGGTCTCAATCGGTGGGAGGATGTTCCGCCTTCCGAGACCAGAGCCGGTGAAGCACACAAGCACGCCAATGATTAGATGTTTTATCGAAACCTTCCATCAGTGGAAGTTCCTTCAGCCTTTCTTACATAGTGCGCATACCAATCATCATTTTCCCCGAGCAGTCTGCACGAGCAAAGCCACTAACTACTCTTTAACATATCCCATTACATCTTCTGGGAGCTCCTCAAATTGCAAGACATTAACTGGAAACCAATCAGGTAGTGGCTTACATGGACGAGCCGGAGACCAGTAACACACGAATATGATGCCAGTGTCACCAACCGTGTAGCCAGCGGCTGATAGAATCTTCCGTAGATACCACTGCACGCCTGCATGGATAGAAAAACTCCGTCCTCCAGGCCGGTAATCTTCGTCCCAAACCCCAGAGGTAAGATCAAAAATTAGGCTCTCAGCAACATTTAGCACATGTGGTTCCTGCTCAGTATTTAAGTCGTCCCATTTCCAGACTTCACAGATGCGACGAAAAGTTTCGAGATCTATTGTAAGCTTCCTAGAAGGTGCAGGCGTCCGATATATCACTGGTGGAGCGCTGAAGTCTTGGTTCCAGTCGAAATCATCTTCTCTGTAATCTATGTTGTCTTCGTCGTCATCTGTGGCTTCGTCGTCATCTGTGACATGGTCGTCATCTCTGTCTTTGGTGTCATCTTTGTCTTGGTTGTCTGTCGCAAGCGGTCGTTGGGAACGTTTGTGTGCGTGCGTTGACTCTCGTTCGTCCGAATGCTTTACTGTTGCTTCTTGATTGGTCATTATTTGTGCTGTGGGAGCCTTTTTTGGTGCGAAAGCAAGTCTGATTTGTGTTTTGGTAGGGAGCATGACAATGTTGAATGAAAACAACGTTGGACGGAAGCTCGCTTATGCACTGCTTCAAAATGTAAGATTTGGTTCGTCTCCACTAGGGTCACAGCGTGAGTGGAGACCTTAATTTGGGCCTCTGGCTTACTGTGGTTCAGCCTAGTGTTGTGACGCAATGCATGGGAAATTATCAGCGAAAGTTAGATAATGCATGTCGAGGGAGGCTGAAAATTCTCGAGCAAAGACAAATTCCAAGTCCTATAGTCGGGCTTCTATAGCGTGAGCGTCCAAGCCCAAGAAGAAGCCACTGTTTTTCGGCGCTAGTGATCTGCCGACGTGAATTCCTAGGGGGACGACAACCGAATTGACCACGATGTACACTAGGGAGCCACTGTCTCCAGGTATAGCGAAAGGCTTCTTTTCAGAGGTTCATTCGACCACTTCAACGCAGCGATGCTTATCCACCGCTTCGTATCTAATCAGGTCCCAACCGGTTCCTGTGAGATTGATGTCGTCGTTGAGGGCGCTCTGTTAGAACCCGCGAAGAAAAAGGTTCTATCCGTCCGACATGTCTGGTAAGAACTGGACCTTATGTAATATGCAAATCGATTGCGTACACAGGCACCTAGTAAGAGAAAGCACATGGAGGTAGACAGATCACGGCGCGACATATCGCCTCGTATGAGAAGGCAATGAGATGACTTCGAAACGACTTTGATTCTGGAGACCTCGTTCATCCTTTCCAACTTCTTTCACAATGAATTGTGCTGGTGAAGTCCTTTGTTGGGCCAGTTCTTCCACGGTCGACCACAAAGACTTCACATTGGTACATCTCGAAGGGCCATGAACAATGCACAATCAAAGTTCGAGACGTCCTTTTATCTCAATGACTCTTTCATCTCTTCCTACATCCGTGTATATTATACCGCCGTCAGACCAAACCCTCCCAACATCTAATCCATCTCTAAACAAAAGATTATCGATCAAACTATCAATTTCCATTCGAAAGATGTCAAAACGCTCAGCACCTTCTTCTCCTACTGAAGAGCATCCAGAGACTAAACGACCAAAGCTACCGGATACTCAGGAGGCGACTTCACCACCGCTCGAAACTGTCAATAATACACCATCACCATTAATAGAAAATATCCAGGGCGATTCACCGCAGAGCGAACCACCAGTAAAGCCCGATGATAAGCCTGTGGCCACAAAAGAGAAGAAAAATAAGAAGGAGACAAAGCGCAAGGCTGGCGACGGCTTTGCGCCCTGGAAGCCCAAGCCAGCTTATATCGACATCCCCGAGCTTCAGCCACATTGGGGTATCGTCCCACGCCCAGGAACTTATGAGAGACCATCTCATCCGCAGCCCTCAGCTACCACCAGCGAAGGGGCTATTCGCCCAGCCCTCTGGGAAGACCGCAAGGGTTCTGTTCGTCTGAAGCGTGGTAGCCGCTATATAAACGGCTACGATCAAGCATTTCACATGTGGCTTCCACTGATGGACGTACGACCCATCAGTAGCAAGGATCAAAAGCCTCGTCGCGTGCCAGTAGGCTACTACTATCCGCATGGTATGCCGATAGTCTGGAATGACACCGGTGCTCTGAATGACGTAAACAAAGCACTCCAGGAGGCGATTAAATCCAAGTCGAACAAAGAAGCGCCCTTCAATCAAGTCGAACGCGGCATTCTTGCTAAAATCTTTTCCGAAAGCCCCGATATCTCAATGCTTGATGCTGCGGAGCAGTTCAATGAGCGAGCCTATCCCATCACCGCACCTGAATCTGGTCGTTATCCCAGCGGCCGCTTCACTGAAAGCATTCAACATGAGTTTCGTATTTATCAGTCTTCGTACATAAAAGGTCAAGCACCAACGGAAGCGACCGAGAGGGACATCCCACTTGAAAAGCTTTACGCAGAGTGGAAGGGAGAACAGGTGAAGGCAAAGGCGGCCACCAAGAAAGTGGCCACGTTGAAGGTGCCGAAGATGCCGAAGAAGCCGTCTTCTGGAAAATCGAGCAAAGCCACAGGTGATATCAAGAAGAAGGGCAAGTCCAGGAAGGTAAGAAAGCCAGATGAAGAGCTGGCTGCCGGAGCTGATGCTACATATGCCGAGATAATGGCGAAGGAGGCTGCTGAAGAAGCAGAGAAAGCCGCTTCCGAACGCGTGCAAGCTGGTGCCGAACACAAGGCAGTAGAACCTCCAATTACTGTGTCCGAGCAACCATCTAATGGTTCGATTAAGTCTCAGGGCGTCAAGTTGACTGAGACCTTGGCTGTCACAGATCAGGGAGCGGTTGCAGCTTCCACTCATGAGGTGATTAGTGAGAATGAAGTTGCCACTGCGAGGTCTGAGGCTCACAGCGCTTTTGCTGAGAGGGCAGTTCGCAGCGTTGAGATCGATGAGAATTATGATGTAGAGGAGGAGATTTTGTAGTCGAAAGTGGCAGAGTACAGTAGTCAAACTCAAATTTCAATCTTATTCAGTATGTGGTTGTTGCATCATTTATTGTGATTTCGCAGCCTACGACTTCAACTCTTTTAACGCGCAAACAGCGAAAGTCATCAGCTCCTCTTCATGATCGATCGATGCGCTCGATATGCATGTATCTAATTCGTCAGCAGAATTTGCATTGACAACTACCCTCTTGTGTAGGATGCAAGTTCAATGCACTCCCTATTTTGGACTGGAGGATAAATATTCAGATATCTCAAAGCATTTACGCAGGTCTTCACCAAAGCTAGACACCAGCTTCAAAGTCTGACACTACAGGGTTTGACTGACGGTATGAGCAATCTGGTTCTGTCAATCACTTTCGATATCATACATCATAGCATGCTCGCAAGGTAAATAGCTTACGCGAACACGCATATGAGCAATCTGAAGGGGACCAGTAAGTGCAAAAGGCAACTTTTGCACAATTAAATGCAATTTTGATGACGTCATGCTGATTACATAAACTTGCCCCTTTGATCAACTCTCGATGCTTTTGTTCATGCTCAATGACCGTGCTAGTAGGGTGTTCTCACCAATAGCATAGAGTCTCAGACATAAGGCTGGTCAACGGAAAGCCGCTGTGGGGCCGTTTTCGATGCCTGTGTCTCGCGTTCGCATTTGCAACAGCACTAGCGCGCCCATCGTCAGTGCGGTAACTCAACATGGCTGTACTTATATGATTACTGACTAAAGTTCGGACGACATGCGGACGGACTTGAAGTGACAATGGCTTAGGGACTTGCAGATGAGACAGCTATAAATATGAGAAGGTAGCTTTGAACATTCAAACATCCATTCAAAAATACCGCACTTACACGATGTTCCCATCCTTTCTTATCGTTGGTGCGACAGGCAATACCGGGCGTAGTGTCGTCGAAACGCTCTCCAAAGGCCTTCAGAACAGTCAGAACTTCGCCGACTATCGCATCCTCGCTCAGACGCGATCCGCCGACAGCTCCGCGTCGAAAGAGATTGCCAAACTGCCCAACGTTGAGGTTGTCGAGATTCAGTGGCCGGAAATCACCTCTGAATGGCTGCAGGATCATGGAGTTGCCCGAGCCTTCATCGCCTCTCACAACCAGCCTAACCAGTTCGCTGAGGAATCGACTTTTCACAATGCAGCCCTTCAAGCTGGAGTGAAGTACGTTGTGCGCATCTCCACAACAGCAGCAAACGTGCGCCCGGACTGCAAAGCGTACTACCCACGTACGCACTGGGCCATCGAAACTATGCTTGAGTCGCCAGCCTTTGACAACTTACATTGGACGTCACTTCAACCAAATGTCTTCCTATCATTTTATGTGGGTCCTGCTGCGGATATGATCAGAAGAGTTCGGAGTGGAGAGAATCCAGGCACGCTTCGATTGATGGCAAGTGCAGACGCACCGGTTGCAGCTATCGACGCCAATGACGTTGGCATCGTCGCGGCCAAGCTCTTACTTGAGGCAGATACTTCAGTGCACAACAAAGCGAAGTATGTGTTGAATGGTCCGGAGGATATCACAGGCAAACAAATTGTGGCGATGGTGGAGGAGCGGATTGCAATGAAGGTTGACGTCAAGTTTAAGGACATGTCGTTCTTGGACGAAATGGTCGCGGCTTCATCAGAGTCGAAAAACGTCATTCAATCAATCAGTCACGCCCCCGAGACCGCGTGGGACGGTTTATGCAAGGCTGAGACGACGAGTAGGGAGATTCTTGAGCTTGCAGCGCCGAAGGGAAAAGCTGCCGATTTCTTAACAGTGTAAGGAGCTCAGTTTTGCTTGGAGTACTTTGCAAATCCGAACTACTTGGCTTACCTAGGTAGTAATCTGTACACACGTGACATGGGCACCCCCTATGGACCGAAGCCATGTACTGTATTACAATATTGGGCAAACGTAGAAGTAGCCATATTCAATTATAGAGGCTTTAAGACTCGCTTTTCAAATGTCAATGGCCACGCTGGATTCGCCGGTAGATATTGGCCCTCTGACGTCACCGATATCATTGGTCCACACGTAACAGGAGACTATGCATTTTCCAAAATAAGAGCGTTTATTTCTAACCGAATTATACCACCTTGTCAAACAACATACCGCTCAGAGCGCGGTCTGACCGCGTTCATGACGGACCTCGAAGTCAGGGCATTTCTCGTCGGGTAGACGTCCTTACTTTCCAAGGCAACCTTACATACCCTAAGCACATCACCACAATCTTCTTTTCGAATCAGCGAGTAGCTCTATGAGACCGCTGGATCTTTGTTATCTAGAAACCATTGTACAACCATGGTCCGTTTCTCGAGGACGAACGACGCCTTTGGCTGAACGACCCCGGGTATTGAGCGCTTTGTCACAAGGTCTCTGAGAGGCTGAATGGAATCCCTGTGTTTCCTTTCAATTGTGCTAACGTTGTCTTCGTCTTGTAGCGCACTGGCAATCTTGACAGCGTCCCATTCGGCATCGCCGGATTGTCTGGGCAAACGCTCGAGCAAGTCAACAGCACGGGCGTTATTCTGGGCTGGGAGTATCCGGTCTTTGATGTATCAGGCGGGCCTGGTATTGACTCTCCAGATCACCTTCGTCTGGCTCGAGCTCACCGGACAGCTTTGCTGCAACGTAGGAAACAGTCCAACCAGCATTTCCCAGATCTTTCTCCCAGGCCATAAGCTGTCGCGTCGCGCTGATCAGTACCTCTGAGCTGTAGTCGTACGTTGATGGGAGAGTGTAAGTCTCTCGATATATCCTTTGCACCTCTTCGTCGAGTGCTCCCGCTGCCACTAATTTGAGGACATCGCGGTATGTCCATCGTGGATTTACGCGTCCGATTTCATACTTCAGCTTCACAAGTAGAATTCGTGCGTGATCGCTGACTGACCCTGAGCATTCGCGATACGAAATTGCGAATAGATCTTCGTCGCTCTCGCCACTGCTATCATCATCACTGCTGTGACTGCCGTTGTCTATCACAACTGGCCGAGCTTTTTGAGGGTCAGAATCAGACTGAACGTTCCCGGAGCGGCAAAAGTTCAAGTTGGACTTGATGCAATCAACAGCCTCGTCGTCAGAGAGCTGATCCACGAGTGTATTGCCATTCGTATCAAGCCTTCCATTGGCTGACTGAAGGTGGCGCTGGTATCTGGTCACCCTCTTCCACTTTGACTTGGTTTTCACGATTTTGAACTGAAATTTCGAGCGGTATCGTATGTCGGGTATCTTTTTCCGGTTTTTGAGCACATGCTTGTAGTAGATCTCAGTTGCGGTTCCGAAACGTCCGACCCAGACGCCGCCTCTGTCACGGCCTACAACACTGCCATCTTCATTAAGATCGTGAATGAAGACCTCACTCTCTTTTTTGTGCTTTTCCTTTATGTACCCACAAGTTTCCGTGAGTCGTATGGGACGACCCTGTCCATCTTTCTTGTAACGTCGATCTGTTTTGCCGTTTTCTGTTTGGTACTCTTCCTCCTCATACACATAATCCCGCTTATTCGCAGTTACAGCAATCACGTTTCCCCATTCATCGGCATCGAATGAGGTAGGCCAGTCGAAACTAGTCTCTAGGACACCGTGGTGCAAATCATGACCTGTGGGCAGCAGAGCTTTGGTGGTAGGGCTTTGCAGATAGCTTCGATCTTTCTCTTCTTGTTCAAGAGTGAAGATATCCTGATCTATGATCCATTCCGTAGCCCTGGGGTTCCTTTGAATGTTGGTGGTGAGCAGCTTATCCAAATCCACGATGCGTGAGTCCGCCCCTGGAAATTTGAGCTTGAGTTGCTCGCTTCGTATTCTATACGCCTTCAGTTTGGTAGACGTGGTCCCTCTTGGAGGCTGCGAATAGCGATGCGCGACATCTGGAGTCACGCTCTTTGGCGAAGAGTTTCTGTTCCCCAATCCGAACTTTGTGTATAGCTCCCAAAGGTGATCTCTCCAGAGTTGGTAAAAATAGAGTATCGGGTCGGCTCTTTTGGCGCTTGCAGCCTCTTGCCTGGTTTCATAGTATATCTTGTTAACCTCCAGGTAGCGACGATTCCATTCGTTCTGGAAGTACAAAAAGTCTTCCCACGCTATTTGAGCATAGCGGTACTCATCGTGTTTATGATCGGTGCTCAAGTCACTGTGAACCTTCTGGTACTCTCGCTGTAAACGAAGCATGGCAGCTTCACAGTCGGTTGCAGCTACCGTGCCGCCTTTCATAGTCCCAGTTTCGAGATCAGCCTCTTTTACCCAATTTGACCATTCTGCGTCGAGCGCTTGCTTGCATGGCTTGATTTTGTCCAGATCCGAGTTCTGTGTGGCTCTATTCCTCGCTTCCTGAAGCCAAGTCAGGAGTGCACGCCTTGTCGCTGGTATCCACTGCTGCTCCAGTTCTTCTAAACTTGCAGGCTCCGAGGGCCATTCCTTTTGATTTGTTGGGTTCCTGAGGGGAATTGCTTTTGCGATTGCTCCTTGGCGTCCTCGACTTGACATTATGCTCGAGAAGGAGTTTCCAGGACGTGTCCTAGAGTATGAGATCTGAGCCACCTAGGTACCGGAGGCCGGCGTTCGCAGTTTTCTATTCAAGACGCCGAAGTTCTTCTTTGTTCCAGTCACAGTATCTCATTTTCTTCGTATATGCGCTAAAAATATCATCCACCCAATCTTGAGAGGTTGCTAGTCTACATCGTTCGGCAACAAAGCATGGAAACGAGCTTGGCGCACGATCGCGGCTCCGGGAAACAAAGAACATGCAACTAAACCCTTTGAAAATATTGAAAGCATAATATTGAATCACGCTAAGCATCTAATGCCTAACTATCGCGCCCCGGTGCTTTAGCTTTGGCGTTGTCGTGCTGTAAAGCTAGGGCTCTCTGGTTCTGTCTAACTAGTGCACGCTCCCATTTTGACAGTGCTTTGATCGTGCCCATCAATGCATTAACATCTCCACCATAACCGATCGGCGGGCAAGCCACATACGCGAGGAGAGCGTTGACATGTGAAGCTTCCAACCGACGTTCTTCTAGCCCACGTACCTGTTTTGTATCATCTGCCAAATCGCTATACCAGTCCGAACGAATGCCACTGAGACCCTTTACACGTGTAAGTCCAAAATCCCGCCGTTTCCAACGATCTTCGAGTGATTCAACTGCTTTATACATCCATGAGTCTTCAAGGGTATCAAAGCTCTCGTCAACCTCTTCTACTGCCTCCGTGGTATCGGATATTGTGGGAATCGACCACCCATCTTCGAGCATAGTTTTGATCTCCTCGGAGTCAGTGAGGACAGCCGCTGTCTCCACAGGTCTACTAATGATAGTTACCGTTCCTGCAGGTCTGTTTGTGGTACTGGTATTAGTGGGTTGCACACCAGTACTCTGGGGATCATCTTGGATCTATGTGTTTGCCTCGATGACGTCCACACCTGGAGTTTTACTTCCAGCGGCCGCATTACCAGTCTCCCCTGGATCCTCGGCTGATGTGCCACCTGCACCCTTTTTGGTAACCGGGACATCATTTTGGCCTTGAGGCAGGCTTAGACCGTCTGCGATGAATCGATTCAATTGTGCATCAGTAATAGACGGGAGATACAGTTCAACACTTCTGTCGTCCACTAACTGTGCCTTTACCGTAGTGACTAAGTTTCCAAGTGAATCTCCCCGTTTAAGCTTACTAGAGATCGAGTCCTCCTTGCGGCTTGTTCGAGGAGGAATCTGGTTCCCACCCTTGTCCGCAATTACTTTTCCCTCGAAGAATGCATTGAAGTGTTCCATGACCTGGGCAACCTTAGGTCTACGCACTACTTGACCACTGTTAGCACGCTGCTGTAGCAAGCGGTAGAGTAATTCAAGAAAGGCCTCCTCTTGCGGCTGCCAATTGGTAACACCGCGGTCCTGGAATCCATGGCGGCGAAAGACTTGACGGCGCCACTTCTGAAGTCTTTGTACATGATCCTTATTGTTCCAGTCCATTATATCAGCGTGCGCCTTTGGGTATGATAACATTTGCTGTTTCCCGGTTTTCACATCCTTGAAATGCAGGGTAAGCTTGCTTGCATCGGCCTTTTTGACTTCTGGAGGATCAGTGTTTCCTGACACAAGCTGATATTTACCGGCATTAGCTTTTTGCAATTTTGCAGTTTCAATTTCATTTTCGTCTTCCTTGTCACCTGTTTTGCGCTTTTTGGTAGGCTTATCGCCACCGTTGCCGCCAGGGGGTTGGTCGTTTTGGTGCCATCGCAGGGGAGTAATGTACTCTGAGTGTGAAATTGTTGATACTGAGACGAACGATAATGCATCCAATCTATATAATATGCGTAAGATTTAGAAACATTCTGAAAGTCTGCACTGTTTCATTGTTCGGTTTCAGTTTGATTCACTTGAATGACTAGTCCAAACAAAGCCGTGTCGAGCAGTGTGTATAACTTTTCAGGCTTTCCATAACAACATTGTTCAAGAAACAGTCTAATCAAGGAAATTGTACAAAACGTATGCATCCTTTCATCGTCCGTACCGGCACACAATGCAACTTGTCTGAAAGACTGGTGCTTCTATCTATGACAATTCTTTGAGCCTCTTCACTTGCAACCATACATGTACTCGTTTTAGGTGTTTGAACAACGATCAATGGGAGAAATGGGCTACCTTTTACCCTCCACCTACAGGCTTCAAATATGCGGAACAGAGCAGATTAAGAGAGGAAGACATCAAGTGGGGCTTTCATCTTTTAGTGCATTCGGATTCAGTGGAAGTTGTAAGTCTTCGAATTTCCAATTGCGTAACTCTAGGTGTACGGTATGGAACGGAAGAGGTAGGACATGTAAGAATCTTTGTAACGATTCAGAGCATTTAGGTTTTCAGGTCTGGTCCCGCTGTGGGTATGTAGATCGAGTAGAGCAGAAGAGCAAGGCACCAGTCATTGGTCGAATGAATCCTCGTTTTGGACCTTCGAACTTCCTTGGGGCTTCCGACTTTCGCGTTTTGAGTAGAATCAAGATTTGTTGAGATTTCTGTGCTCGCGCTGTGGGCATGCGGAATAGAAAAACAAGACAGAGACCCATGGACCGACATATCCTCTATATTGGGCCTTCCCACTTTTACCTTTGGGGTTCAAGCAGAGCAGAGCAGAAACAAAGCCTATGGGTCATGGGCTCTGGTATTCCCGATTTCCTTGGAACTTCCAACTTTCAAGTTCTTCGTTCATACGATGGGCGGGCAAAACAGAGCAGAGTATAGAAGAGCAGAGCAGAAGCAAAGCCCATCGGCCAAGACCACGTGGATTTCAGACAAGTCAATTTTCTTGGAGCTCCCAACATCCGAACCAAGAGACGAGACTCAAGACTTGAGCGTTCCAACCGGATGCGTGCAGAACTGAAACGGGCGGGCACATCAGCGCGTCAACAAACTAACCCCAAGCATTCCGGGTTCAAACTATTTCTTTCAGACTGCAGACCGCACTAAGGATGAGGACATGGGTACGTGAACACAGCGATTCGGAAGCCTAGGTTCCGGGGCTCTAGACTCCAGGTTCGCAGGCCACAAGAGCAGGCACACCACATGGGTTGATCAGTGTCTCCTTTAGACTTTTCAAGCGTCAATTTTAGGTTTGGACTGTGAGCAGGCGGACTGCAGCAGGCAAGGCTGTGTTTGAAACCTCGCTACCAAATCATAAATGGTAGCTTCAGACTTTTTAGATTTCGTGTGGAGACTTTCGATTGCAGATGTTTGATTCCAGATCATAGGCAGGGGATAGAGGATAGAGGACGACATGCTAGGGCACCAGATGGCAGCGCAAGTCATGAGAATGTTGGTAGTGTCATTCGAGTTCCGACGTCCCAGGTCTCAATATCGCAGATTGCGACTGCAGGCACGCAGAGCAGACAGACACCGACGGCAAAAGAAAACACAATAAATTTTCGTTGCTTAGTGGCCTACGGTCGTTTGGTTTTTGACTTCCAGGCAGGATATCGATTTCAGACGCCGGTTTTGGATCATCGGCGTGCAGGCTACAGCAGGCAGAAGCCATTTCATGGCAACCATCGGTTTCAGACCTTCGAACTTTCTTAGAACTCCTAGCTTTCCATTTTCCACTTTCAATTTTCAACTTTCAGGGTTCGCATTTTGTCTTTCACATTCACACGGTGAATGTGCAGAACAGAGGAGCAGGAAAGAGGCCATGTACTCTACGCTTGGTGGTTTTCGACCTTCTGCCTCCCGCCTTGTAACATTCCAACTCTTGAATTTCCCATCTCACATCTCAACTTCCAACATCCCCGATTTTGACGTGATAGTCCAACTGTATGGACGTAGAGCAGAAAAGCAGGCACGCCACATAATCCAACGTTCTACTGCTTTTCTAATCTCCGGCTTTCGAGTGTCAACGACTGACTCGAGACTGTGGCTGTTCAGAGCACAGCGCCGGACCGAGAGATGAAAAGACAGTACACCAACCAGCCATCTGAACGTGCGTTTTAAAATTTGAATACTTCGAATTACAGATGTCTGGGAATCTTGGAGACGGGCGCGGAGAAGCAGAGGGAGGACATTCAGGTGGGTACTTTCGATTCCTGGATCTTGGATCCTTGGACCTTAGGTTTTGGAACCCGGGGGAGTGTGAATAGGCGGATGAACTGCCAGAGATGCAGAGACGCAGAGACGCAGACAGAGCAAGACAGGAGACATCAAGTTCTGTATCTCAAACTTTCTCGTGTGGTAAGAAGGGGGTGGCGGAGATAGTAGGTAAGAGGTAAAGAGGCAGAGGGGGCTGGACATGAGTAGCTCAGTTATAAGCTTCAGATTCTCTATCGTCTCAGAGTCTTGGTTTTTCGGCATGACGGTGGACGTCAGGTATAGGAGACGGAGACGGAGAGACAGGGAGGCGGAGGGAGGAGTCCCTCAAGTTAAAATTTTATTTCAATTTTTCCGGCTCTCAGATTTGTAGATTCCCAGAATCTCAACCTTTTGGGGAAAGCATAGGATGTCTCGAAGGAGAGAGCAAAACATTCTAACTTTTATTCTGCTTTTAAATTCTTCAGTTTGCTCGTTTTTGACGTCTCAGACTGTCACGTTCTCGAAGTGGCTGTGGATGGTTGATAGTGGACAGAGGAAGACAGAGAGAAGCAGAGCACATTGCGACCAATGTGCGAGGTTTTTGGAGGGGTTGGGTCTCAGATCCTCAGATCCTCGCACTTTCGGCGTAGTGGTGGAAGTCAGGTAGCGGAGACGGAGGGGGGACAGAGAGAGGCAGAGAAAGGCGGAGCATAGGGGTTTCTGCTGGCCATTTTCGGAGGTTTTGGTTTTCAGACCCCCAGAACCTCATGTTACCAGATCATCGCATCTTCGGGGTAATGGTGGATGGGTACCTCAGTAGGCATGTTAAAGAGACGTAGAAGGACGAAGTCATACCTGTTCCAGGTTTTCTTTTTAATTTTTCAGGTTTCCAGTCCTTAAGTGTTCGGCTCTCAGGGTCTCAGACCCTCATTTCATCAGATCATCGCATCCTCACATTCTCAAGAGGGCGGAAAGAGGGAGACATGTGTAAGCTATGCAACTGATTTTAAGTTTCCAACTTCTTGGATGTTAGGTTCTTAGATCCTCAGATCCTTGGATCTTCGGGAGGGTGGGTAGGTAGGTGGGTATGAGAGACAGAGAAAAGCCGAGCACATGCATTTCGTTGCCGTGTTTTGAGGGCTTCAGCTCCCAGACTTTTGGATCTCCAGATTCTCAGGCCCTTAAAACTCCAGCGTGGTAGTAGAGCAGGGTAGCGAAGACAGAGCGGCGGAAAGAGGAAGACATCATATTGTTCAGGGCAGTTTTCGGCTCTCAGATTCTCAGATCGCCGGGTTTTCCAGGCAGGCAGAAGGCAGAAGCCATGCAGCAGCAATGGATTTACTTTGAGTTTCCGATTATTTTGTTTTCGAGTCTTCGATCTTCAAGGGAGTGATTGATGCTAGCATCTCCGTAGCGGACGCAGATAGAGGCAGAGCACATCTGCTTCAAGCAGCCTAGTTTTTGGATCTTGGAGCTCTCGGATTCTCACATTCCTAGAGGAACAGAGGGAGCAAGATATTCAGAAAGTAGTTACCGTATTTGAACATTTCCAAGCTTCTGGTTCTTGAATTCTCAAATCTTCGAGAGAGTGGATAGGTAGATGGATATGTCGCAGAGACAGACGGAGGTAGCGCACATGAACTTGAGGATTATCGTCTTTAGATTGCTTGGTTTTTAGATTTACAGATCCCCATATCTCCAAGAGGAAATGTAGAGAAACGCAGAGTGTCAGAGAATGAGGGGATTCAAGATGTCGATAGGCGGAGGCAGAAAGACATAAATCAGTATGATTGAGATTTCGAGATCTTAGGCTTCTAGCCTTTGGATCCTTGGATTTTCGTGGGGGTAGATGTGTGAGAAAGAGGTAAAGACGCAGAGCCATTGAGAAGTAGAGCAATAGAGGAAGGAAGACATCGGTTGTCCTCAGTCAACTATTCTGGTCCTCAGATCCTTGATTACTAGGCAGAAGGTTGAAGGCAGACGGCGTGGTTGGTACAGTACAATGCAGAATATGTGTAGTGTAGAGAGAGAGGCAGAGAGAGGCAGGACACATCAGCTCCAATTGGTGAACTTTGGAGGTCTGAGATCTCGGGCTCTCAGGTCCTCAGATCCCCAGATCCTCTCAGATCGTCATATTTTTTGGGAAGGCAGAGGGAACAAGACATGCACTGTGTGCTTCTTCGAATGATTCGGATCTCCTGTGGAGGGAAGAGGGCATGTACTGGACCATTCGGTCCTTTGAATCGTTCAGGCTTACAGTTTTTAGATTTCCAGTTTTCAGATTCGCAAATTCCCAGATCCTCGGGCTTGTGGGAGGCTGATGGAAGATTTGCAGGTCAAATACACAGAGGGAGAGAGGAAGACATTGGTTGCCTTCTGTTCAGTTTTCTGGTTCTTAGAGTCCCAGACCTTCGGGCAAAAGGTAGAAGATAGACAGCACAGTAAAGTGCGGTACAGTACATGTCCGTCTTAGACAGAGAGAGGCAGAAAGAGGCTAAGCACATGAACTCCAGGTTGTAGTCTTTAGAGGTCCAGGTCCTTTAGATTCTCGAATCTCTAGATCCTCTCGAATCCCTCCATGCTCAGGAAGGCAAAGGCAACAAGACATGTAATGAAGCATGAGGTCCTTTGAATTTTTTAGGGTTCCGGTTCTCAGGTTCGCGACTGTTCAGATACTTGGGCTTGTGGAACGGTGGTAGAAGATGTGCAGATCGAACAGACAGAAAAGGGGGCCCGGAAAGACATGGGTCGATATTTTCTTCATTTTTGGATCTCAGATACTCGGATCTTCGGGCAGAAGGTGGATAGTACAGCGCCTAGGTATCGTACAGAATTGGGATAGTGTTCACAGAGCGAAGGGGAGAAGCAAAGGGAGAAAGTCATAGGTTGGTAGAACGCATGTTTCGGCATATCAGATCTCAGATTCCGTTGTTTTCAGGCAGAAGGTGAATAGCACGGTGTAATGCTGTACAGTACGTATGCGTGTACACGGGTAATATAGTCAGAGAAAAGCCAAGCCACAGGGCAGCAGAGATGCAGAAG